TCTCAGCCCTGAAGGTTTCACAAGCATCGTGAGGGCAATGGAAATTCCAAGCCGCAATCTTATCGCTCATCTTTTCCTTCTTCTTGCTCCATGTACTACCTTGCTCATCACTTTCGTGTTCGCCGCCGCATTCGGTTGTTTGGTCAAAGTCCCGCCGTTTTCGACCGCCCTTAGGCTGGTACGTTTGATGTGCGTTGCTCAAGGACGGCATGACATCGTCTCGGCTGATGTATCCGGCGTGAACATTTGCAATCTCTGACAAGAAGCACACGACCGGGGCTATGTATCTCTGTGCCCGGCGGCAATTTTGGTATGGGTCATTTGCACACTGTTGCGCGATTGATGGTTGGTCTGCCAATTGCAATGCTTGCATCATCTTGTCCAGTGGCAGCTTTTTGTACGTATACAGTCGAGCAAGCTTCCATTCCCTGGCATCAGTCCATTTCAAGGGCCTGTATGGCTCCATGGTCAAGGCGCTACGACGACTTGAACCCTCGCTGTCTTTCATCAAACCCACCACAACGTCCAACAACACAATCTCTTCTCCAGGAACGCTGACGGCTAGACAACAAAGTCCACCCTGTCCTGCCAGCAACATCACAAAGTAGAGCCCTTCATGGGTAGAATGTCCCCTGAGGCCAGTAACAACAACGGCGATATCTTTCCAAGACAAAGGCCGGCACTTTACGTCAATCTCCGACCAAAGCCACCTAGGCAGACAACCCATCAAGTCGTCCCGCTTCCCCCACAAAATCTTTAGCCCTCCGGTCAACTCCACCAGTGTCCTACCACAAAGACAGGAAGCAGCTTCACCGTCTGTACTAACACCACCAACGCCTGCCTCTCCCGACCCCAAACTAGCCGGCAAAGATAGTGGGGATATTAGAATCTGCGACGCACTCATTCTGACCGTCTACCACCAAGACTTAAGTCCAATTCTTCTGGTTCCTGAGTTCAAACCATTAGAAAAAACACAAAACCTGGTCAACACTATCACACATGATCGTACCACTTACAACCCCACGGCGGCGTCCAGTCCTTCCCAATAAGCTCTGTTCCCCTAAACAGCCAAGAAAAAACTCAAAAAGAAATGAAGAGACAAAGAGAGCGAACCCCGTGCATCTCACAACTGGACTTCCCGGCCCTTTAAATACCTTCCTCAACTCCCACGTGGCACTTCACGCACCTCCATGCATTCTGTCTTAGGCTCCACATTGTGTACGACTATTCACAACCACTCGCTCCCCTCCTTGACACCGTCTTCCTCCTTCCCCCCCTCCCACGTGGCACTTCACGCACCTCCATGCATTCTGTCTCAGGCTCCACATTGTGTACGACCATTCACAACCACTCGCTCCCCTCCTTGACACCGTCGTCCTCCTTCCTTCCCTTTCTGTTCCCTCATTCACGTCTACTTTTCATTCTATTCTGTCTACTTCCGAGTCGCCTTAGCTCCTTCCCAATTGACCTTGATCCCAGTCGCTCTAACGGGCTTATCAATCAGATATTGTTGGGTAATCTTATAAACGCAATATCGGAATTGCTCCCGTGACTTTGTCATCTCGCCCATTACTAAGATAGATGTTGAATCAGACCTCCGCTGCGTTTTCGCGGTCCATCTTGAGGTCGCCCTTCCTTCTCGTCCCTGTGACCTACGCTGCACTTAGTCACACGGTTCCGTGACAGCTAGTAGCCGGGAAGAAATACAATTTATCGATATCACTCCTCTTATAATAGCTAACTCTCTCGTAATCATACCATCTCATACGACTCGTGGCATTTGATCAATTCTCCTTCTCCCCATCTCTTTCATCTTCTGCCCACTCCTAGTCAAGTCGCCTACTATCAGGACCCCTGCGGAGCCACCAAGGGCCTGCCAAGCTAAGGGGCTAGCTAGGGGCTAAGGGGCACGAGAGAACGTATATATAGGCTACGGAGGGCCCCCTAAGCTACGGAGGGCTAGAATTCAGATGTATTCCGACCCCCTACCTACGTTCTATTTACTGCGGACCACGTACGGAAGACCTCTTCACTCTGCTCTAAACAACGCTCTGACACCTACGGCTTGCAAGATTGGAAACAGCTTGTTCGGAATGGCTTCGTGTCCCAGCATGAGTGCTCCATCCGAAAGATTTGTGACCAGGCTTGTGGGAGACTCGTAGGGCCTGCGTTAGTTCTTTGCTTCCAGAAGTCGTAATCTCGATTTTGACCGCTCGTGTTTTAGTAGCCTGGGAAAGGTTTGAGTAGGGTTTGGCACCCAAAACTTCGATCGGAGGGAACGTAGTTGTCGGGATGATCATAGGTAAGGCTTCATGCTGACTCTCAGGCACATTGGAAGGCACAGAGGTATGGGCAAGCTCTGGACTGATATTAGGCGACATGCGATCACCCGCAAGTATCAATGCGGCAGTAAATCCATGTGACACAAATGAGCCTAACCGCTGGCAGCCTTGGGCCGCAAGACAGTGAGGCGTTATGTCATAAGGCGCAGCAGCTGCATCGCATAAATCCTCGACTCCTATTTGTTGACAACAAAAGCTGGAAGCCCGACCCCTGTCTTGCTCTGCGTGACGTCGCGTGAAGATAGCAACGTGGGGACAGGAGGTCATAGGCCATTGGACAGTGTTGTGGGCACAGCCATCTGAGGGTAGTACGCCTTACTGACTGCCACACCGGAGGTTATAGGGCGCGCTGGTCCCACATACATATGTGTGACCTGTTTCGTTTCTGAGTTGCCTCTCTTCACTTCCATTGACTTGCTCTTTTCATCAAGTTGAACGTGATCATTGCACGAGTTCGCCATTAGATGAAGAGCGTCACTTTTCAGCGCCTTGTAGAGCTTCGAATGCGGTTTTGACCGAATCTCATGGATGTCGAAAACGTGACGGAGAGAAAAGGCCTTCCTACCCTGGCACGAAGGATTGCCGCCATACCAGACTACGAGACGTTTGTTTTCCGTAAATTTGATCGACTCAGCGCTCGAAATCTTCTTCATCTCGAAAGCAGACTCGCATATCTCGAGTGGAGGCTGGATGATATTGATCAAAAGGCCGCAGATAGCCAGAATAACGAGACACTTCGGTCCATCCATGCATGGGAAGCCTTTGAAAACAACGCAAAAGATCAGAGCCGTCCCGAACATGAGCGGATGCGTATAGGAACAGAGATCGGCAATGTTTTAGAGGAATATCGTTAGTTCACCACCCCCAGAAGTAATATCTGTCGTTGCTGACCGGGGGGTGGAGAGAAATAGATGGAGCATTGTTACGTCAAAGCCAAATCGCCACGCTCGAGTACCCTCAAAAGAGGGTTCTGAAGGTAGCACGTGCACAGTCGAGAGACCAGATTTATGATGCCCTTGGAAACAAGAGCTACGAACGTCCGCTCCTCAGTGGACTTACCGAATCGCGACTTGACGAGATTAATCAGACAGATCTAGTTGCGGTTAGGCGACCGGCTGATGGCGACCTACTATCACGTTTTCTTCAAGACCATTGGATATTTAAAGTTAGTTTTTACCAGAACCCGCCTTAACAACTGTTCACTGACATGAGAGAGACAACACGCCTGACAGATGAAACGGAGCACATAGTGGAAAGCCATATCACCTGGGCAGCAGGAGTATTCAGCACATTGATTGCGGCGCTGCTGTTGCTTGGAGCGATTGTCGCTCTTCGTCTCATCAAACAACAAGATGTACAATTGGGAGTGATCGCAATATTTACTGTCCTTTTCTCGGCGAGTGTAAGAGTGATGACCAACGCAAGAAGGGCGGAGATTTTCGCATCAACAGCAGCTTATGCCGCTGTACTGGTCGTTTTTGTGTCCTCATCACCGTTATCACCTGATTCGACTTGCTGCACAAGCGCGCCATAAACAAGCCTTGCCCTCAAGGACCGGGTCAGGAGCCCGCGAACATAGTAGCCTATCTTCGAAGGCACACTGAAGGCACACTGATGTTTGTCGGCAGAAACCGGCAACTTTAGAATGCCACGGCTTCCAAGCCTTGCTTATAACATGAAAACTATCTTTTGTGTCATTATATAGTTGAATGTGATAAATAAATCTGGAATTGGTCTGTTGGGACTAATCTGTGTGACGAAGGCTGTATTGGGGGCCATGCTTGCCTCCACTACCCTTCGCCGAAACTGCAACGCGAAATGGGCAGCGACTGGTCACTGATATACTCGTGTGAATTGTTGGATTTTAATTTCTAGGTCTTAGACCCCCTAGACACATCGGTCAACTAGAATGGATCGATAAAGAATGGCAGAACCCAAGGCTGCTGGCGCCTGGGCTCAAAACCTCGATGCTTCCTGTCCCGAAGATACCCAAATCCCACCCCCCGACATAGAATACCCAAAACGTCTTTGTTCAAAGACGCAAAAGTTAACCCCTACGAATTGCCCAAGGCGCGATTGCCACAACATGAGCTAACGTGCATCCAGACATTATGTTCCTGACAAGACGAGTCTGTCTCGTAAGCGCGGAGGAGCAGAGCTGCCTGTGGTTTCCTGAAGCGGCCGAAGACTTGTCGCCACTATCGTTGATCATTGTTGCCTGTCTGAGATTTGAATAATCTAGAAAAAGAAGCGTCGAAATTAGTGGGTTTAAGCTTTACTCATCTCCCACCAGGGTCCAAGGAGAGAAAAGCTCACAGCTTGTGGCGATGTATCGTGGTCTGTGACTACGGTCTGCCACGTTCAGAATAAGGTTGTTTCGCGTCCGATGCATCGCCGATGTAATTGATGTGCCTGGCCGCTCATTCCGCTCCTAGGACCCGAGGGACTGTATGTAAGTAAATTGGCCATCTTTATCAATTTCATGGTGATTTGAACGTTGTTCACGCTGAAGTCTCGACCGACAAGCATCCAGGGCGACCGAAACGCGCGTATTCGCGGTTTGCGAGTGTCCTTTGGTGTTTTGCAGGCAGAAATCACGTCCGCGACGTGATGACGCGATGATTTGCCGTAACAAACCCATCATCTATATCTGTCAAAATGGCCTCGACGTCATCTCTTATGACGGATGTTAAAACCTGTGGCTCCGGTGATTACGATAACAGCGGCGAGAACGATGAGACGAGAAGTCGCCTTCGCACTATCCAACACTACGGTAACCGCTGGCCCTGCTTCAAGGGCGCAATGTGGGACACTGTACATATGTGGGAGCCGCAATCACGAATACGGTTCGCCTAAACAGATGTTACAGATATGGCCCGTAAATTAGGTTCCAATGGCGGACAGTGCACGGGGTTCTTGATGGTCACCCGAATCCTCGGATTCGCGAAGAACACGAAAACCGAGGGTTCGGCAACTGCGGATCTCGGGAGGGGCTGAGTTCAGGAACGTATCGACCATTCCCCGACATTCGTCCAATCATGAACTTACTTTCGATCGATAATGGCACGCTCCTGAATTGCAAGTCTTCCATCGCAGGGAGGGCGAGGCTGACAGGTGCCGAAACCCCGGCCCCCTGAATAGGGAAGTATTGGAGCCGCTCTCAAGCCTGTGATATGAGTAACAAGCCGCTCGAGAGACGAGGTTGGAATTTCTCTTCTCTTTCTCTCTCATTCGATCTCAGGATATTCTTCATTCTCTTTCTGTTCTTCGTCCTTCATTATTATTAAGTGCACTTATACACCCTCCTTCTAACTTTCCATTCTACACAGGCCAGTTTTCGGGCACTCCTTGATCGCAATGGCAGCCTCAGGGGATGGAAAAGACGAAAAAATTGAATTCGTACTTTACAGATACGATCCCTCGTTGGCGGCAGCTATTATCTTCACGTTGATTTTCCTCGGCATCACAGGATTCCACACCTACAAGCTAGTTACCACAAAGACATGGTTTTTTGTATGCTTTGTGATCGGAGGATACAGTAAGTGATGGCTCATTGAACGTCTCGGAAGAGAAGCATATTAACTTTAGATTTAGTGCAAGTAATTGGTTATGCCGGTGTACGTTGGCCTTCTCGATCTACAGAACATCGTGCTCACCCACACAATTTATTAGAGAGCCGTTTCTGCCACACAGAGCCCCGACTGGACAACCCCTCCGTACGTCACGCAGACGATATTTCTCCTCATCTCGCCCTCTCTATTCGCTGCAAGCATCTACATGATTCTCAGTCGCGTCATTCTCGTCGTTGACGGCGAGCACTGCTCCCCGATCCGACGCGTCTGGCTGACCAAGCTATTCGTCCTCGGAGACGTCTTGTCGTTTCTGATGCAAAGCGGAGGTAAGCAGCTGCGTGGCCCACGCTCAAAACATTCTTTTAAACTGCGAAAACAGGCGGCGGCATGATGGCCGGTGGTACTCTCGATGCCATGCACAACGGCGAACGAATCGTCATACTGGGTCTCATTGTGCAGATCATCTTCTTCACTCTCTTCGCCGTTACGGCGGCCCTGTTCCACAGACGATTCGCGCGTAGCGTCGCTGCGAGGGTTTCGGCCTCGAACATCCCGTGGCAGAGGTATCTGACAGTCCTCTATGTCGCGTCTGGGCTCATCATGGTTCGCTCGCTCTTCCGCCTAATCGAGTACATCCAGGGCAACGCCGGCTTTTTCATCTCGAGGGAGGTCTTTCTTTACCTTTTTGATGGCGCGTTAATGTTTTTGACCATGGGTATATTTGCCTGGCAACATCCTGGGGAGCTCAATGCTTTGCTGGAAGGGATTCCTGGCAAGCATGGCTACCGCTTGGATTCAGTGGGGTAAAGTAAAGGTTTGAGGCGGACATAGGGCTCAAGACGACAGAGTGTGCAACTTGTGGCGTCTGGTGGATTGAGAAACCGACTTTTGTAGTCGACGTATATGCTTGCCGATGGGGACGACAATGGCATCAGCTGAGAATCATTGCTTTACACCAACAACACCTTCTCATATGAGGCATTGGAATTACTCTGAAACCCTAAGAACCAGCTTCTCCCCGCTGACCTCCTTGTTCCTCAACAGCTTGAGCCCGTTCTCAACCCGTTCAAGAAGGTTCTGTCCCTCCACCACGCGGTGCGGGTTTGGCCGTATGACGCCCTGTTCCAGGAGTGTTGGCACAATCTCCGATTGCATCTTCTCCTTGAATTCCTCATTCTGTGTCAACGTTAGCGGATTATCGCATCACGACAAATAAAACTAAACCCACTCACCTCAAGGTAGAAATGCGTCCTCACGCCCGAGACCTCAACACCCTCCTCCCACTTCCCGACGGAAAGCTCCGCCGGGCTGGTCATCTGATACTCTGGCGCCTCCGTCTCGCTCGCATCTTTGATGATGACAGGCAGCATAACAGCAACCTTGGACCCGCCGCCAGCAAGCTTGGTGATCGGCTGCAGCGTCCCCGTCAGGTGCCCGATGCAGTCAATGGCGTACGGGACCGGCTGCCCTCCGAGATGGGCGCGGATTTGCTCGACGACGTCAGCGTCGCGGTAGTCGAAAGTCGTCTTCGCGCCAAGCTCCCGCAGGTACGCGTGGTTCTTCCTGCTCGCGACGGCGATGAGATTCGTGTAGCCCCAGTGTCGCAGAATCTCAATGGCGTACATGCCCACACTTCCCGCGCCGCCCCAGAGCAGAATGGGCTTCTCGGCCTCGGGCGGTGTCCAGTCGGCGGGGCGGGGCCACGGCAGCGGTAGTCCGAGGTCGTGTACGACAGTGTGGAAGACGGTGATGACGTGGTCCTGCGCCGTGACAGCCTCCTCGGGCTTGAGGTTCTTCGGCACACGGCCGACAAGAAACGACGGCACGGTCACATAGGTTTGTAGCGCGGCTTCTTTGCCGCCGTCGACATTGCGGAATGAGTAGCCGACGACTGGGTTACCCAGGCTGAGTTCGGGCCCCGTATGCGGGCCGGGGCCGACGGCGGCGACGGTGCCGGCAAAAGTGTCACCGAGGATGTACGGATAGCTGTCTATGACGAGACCGCCGTCGGCCTGATGAATATGGTAGGGCGCGATGGAAGCCCAATCGACCTTGACGACAACTTCACCCGCTTGAGGCTCGCGGGTCGGGACGTCAAGCAGGGTCAGCGGCTGGCGGGGGGCCTGAACGGCGACGGCAGGGTGTGTTGCTGGAAGGGTCATTGTGACGTCAAGCTATGTAGGATGAATGTAGTTGAGAGAGAAGTTATCACTGGAAAGAGTGTCTGTTGAGCGTCGATCTAGAAGTGGCAGAATGAAATGTATATAGATCATATATATACCCGAATACTCCAGTAGACGCTCATGCGCCTGGACCCTGACAAACGTGCTGGGCATGCCATTGTTTGTCAGCGCGAGGAGAGCTCCGTGGCGATCTTTCAATGAATCCAAAGAAGACAGCACAGCATTGGACCATGATGTGCGAGAAAGGTGTAAGCCGGTACAACCTGGGTCCCCTCCTCGGTTAGCGGCATCCCACGGTCGCTCTCATGTGCAGGATGGTGTTTTGTGGTTTGCTGTGAAGGCCAGCCACAGTGTGGAAGGGTTGCTCAGCTCCTGGTGTTCATGTCATTCATGTCAGCAACAGGAGGGCGACAGCGGATGGTTGTCTGAATCCTGGACTGAGGCTCATGCCAGCTTATTTTGATGGTGGGAGCCTCCATTGGCATTTCAGATACCCATGTGGGAGGATAAGCACCACCATGGCTTCACTGGCTGTGAATTGTTGGGGTACAATGTTGTACACCACCTGTGAGGGGTCCATGGAAGTCTGGACTTTTCGGCTCACAGCAGTCGTCAGACAAGCTGGGTCGTCATGATCTGGGGCTCAACTTGAGTCCATCTGCAGTGGTTGCAGGCATATGAATTTGAAACCTATTCATCGCTTCACTTTGGGGATTTTGCATCTGTCAGTACCCTACTGAGAGTCACCATTTCCTTGAGCTGCTGAGGTCAATGGGGCCAAGGCTAGGAGTCAGCGACAGTCGACAGGGACTGACGGCCTGCCAGCACAACAAACCAGGATATCCAAACCAGAACGAGCGTCCAGACCAATTGACGGCTCGAAAGGAACTGTGACTCTCTTGTGAGCTATGTCTTGGTCGCCTGGTATGACCTTGGCTCCAGCAATAGGCTGATAGAACGGAACCATCATGAGCGGGTACCATCGGATCAGGCCCAAGTGCCGTCGGTCGCATCGGCGCGCGCCCTTTGAAGACATGTCTGCCCCTCATTCACGTTGGAGTCACAGAGCATGGTGCGAGTCACCGTATCTCCCATCGCTTTTGGTCCGACGTCGGCTGGCTTGGAGCCGGCGCGGACAAATGCTTAAATATAATGCCATTTCATCGGGGCCTCTGACTAGGTCGATGGCTTCCAATCCATTCGAGATCACCTTTGTGAGAAGACCCAGATCCGCATTTGCATGAACACGACTTCAAAAATGGTCTTCAACGAGTCGTCCACGGCGAACCCTGCGCCTCCTGGCTCACAGTCGCAGGGGGAAGGCGTCCCAATCTCGTCTCTCAGCAAAATGAAACTCGACGGCCCCCGAGACTTCGGCAAAGGCCTCAGGGACGAGTTCTGCTTCGATCCTGAATGGAGGAACATGAACAATGGTAAGTCGCCTGGCCCCTCGCCCGGCCCCTTGCCCCTCGCCCGGCCCCTTGCCGGGCCAAGAGGCTCGTTCTAACAAACGCCCAGGGTCCTTCGGCTCAACACCGCGCGTCATCAAGGAGAAGCAGTTTGCGCTGCAGCTCCGCGCCGAGGCCGTGCCGGATCTCTACACCCGCTACGAGTACCCGGCGCACCTCGACGCGGCGCGCGCCGCCCTCGCCGCGCACCTCCACGCGCCGGTCGAGACGATCGTGCTCGTGGCCAACGCCACGACGGCCGTCAACGTGGTGCTGCACAACCTCGTCTGGGACCCGTCGGGCCGCGACGAGATCATCTCCTTCTCGACCGTCTACGGCGGCTGCGGCAAGACCATCGACTGCATCACCGACACGAAGCCGCTCGTCGCGCAGCGCGTCATCGAGCTGCGCTACCCGGCCGACACGGACGCCGCCATCGTGCAGCGCTTCCGCGCCACCGTGGCCGCGGCGCGCGCCGCCGGCCGCACGCCGCGCCTCGCCCTCTTCGACACGGTCTCGTCCATGCCGGGCGTGCGCTTCCCCTACGAGGCCGTGACGCGCGCGTGCCGCGACCTCGGCGTCCTGAGCCTCGTCGACGGCGCCCAGGGCGTCGGCATGATGCCCCTCGACCTCGCCGCCCTCGACGCCGACTTTGTCCTCTCCAACTGCCACAAGTGGCTGCACGTGCCGCGCGGCTGCGCCTTTCTCCACGTGCCGCTGCGCAACCAGCACCTGCTGCCCTCGACGCTGCCGACGAGCCACGGGTACGTGTCGCCGCGGCCGTCGGCGAGGATGAACCCGCTGCCGCCGCGCGAGGTGGGCAAGTCGGCGTTTGAGGAGAACTTCCAGTTCGTCGGCACCGTCGACAACACCTCGTTTCTCATGATCAAGGATGCGCTCGCGTGGCGGGACAAGGTCCTCGGCGGGGAGGAGCGCATCGTCGCGTACCTTTGGCAGCTGGCCAGGGAGGGCGGCAGACGGGCAGCCGAGATTCTCGGGACGGACATTATCGAGAATGAAGCTGGCACGCTGACGAAGTGCGGCCTCGTCAATGTCTGGTTGCCCGTGAGGACGGCTGACGGCGAAGGGGACGGCGCCGTCGTGTCAGCGGCCGAAACGGCGCAGGCACTCGCGTGGGCGCAGAAATGGCTCGTCGACGAGAAGAAGACGTTCATTCCCATTTCTGTGCACACGGGCAGGTGGTATGCGCGCCTCAGCGCGCAGGTCTACCTCGACATGGAAGACTTCGAATGGGCCGCTCATCGACTCAAGGAGGTCAGCGAGGAAATCAGCAAAGGAGCCTTCAGATGAAGCCCCCCCAGCTTCCTGCGGTTTCATGATATAGTATACATCCCCAGATTAATCAAACAACATGGTTCGCTCCACGTTCAGAAACCAAAAACGCTGTGCTGCCAAATAGAGTTCCTCCGCATCACATCCCCAACGAGACCGGGGCCAGTCCTCCGTCGGCAATCGCCGCTCCCTCCGATCAATATCGAGGTTATTCAAGCCGCGTCCGTGATTGGGTACCAAGCTTCCGCGACAACGCCTTGCAAGGGTCAGGGGTCAAAACGAGCCAAGGGGAATTGCTGTGTACATGTCAAAGAGGACTGACATCCGAGTGCTCGCAAACAGGATCCAAAGCAGGGCCCCTCATCGGTACAATGTATGTGTGGATTGGCAAGGAGGGACTGGGTCCTCGGCTATATACGTCCCTTGAAGATATGTACACTAGAACAGCATTGCCAGGCTTCACTCGCCGGGGGTCCTTTGTTATGCCCCGAGCGCTTCACCCGCCCCTCGTGACAGGCACAGGCTTGAGTGCCTTCTCAACGTCTCGCAACGGCCCTCAGGGCAGGCACTGGCTGTAGTACTCGCTCGAAACCTTGCACGTGCCCGACGCGCACGTCGTAGGTCCCGTCCAGCCGATACCGCCGCACTGTCCCCAGAGCTGGGCCGAGCCGCCGCCGCCGGACGAAGGAGGAGGCGAGCTTGGGGGCGGGGTCGAAGGGGGAGGCGTCGAGGGGGGAGGTGTCGAGGGGGGCGGGCTGCTGGGCGGCGGGCTGCTGGGCGGCGGACTGCCGGAGCAGGTGATGGGCCTGGGGCCGGGGATGGCGTAGGTGCGGCCGCCGTTGTCGGGCTGGCCAGTGTTGCCGTAGATGGAGACGAGGACACCGGGGTCCGTGGCCGAGTAGGCGCCGGGGAAGGAGACAAAGTTGGAACCCGTGTTGCTGCCCGAGCCGGTGACGCGGATCCTGGGCTTGTTAGCTGATGCTGTGACAGACTCATGTGGTGACGTTGGCAGGCGGTAGACGTGACGGTGAAAAAATGGACAGGCAGGGGAGGAAGACAGGGGAACATACTGGGCACACTCAAAGTAGAACTGGGCCTCGCCGCGAACGCTTGCGCCGTGCAGGGCCAGCAGCTCAACACGCATGAGGTAGTCGCCCGGCGCAACACAGGTCGGCAGGTCAAAGTAGTACCAGCCACCGTTGGAGATCATCGTGTCGACAGCCCACTTGCCGCCGCTGAGGCCGTTCTCGGCGACCTTGAACCACTGCAGGCCCGTCGACGAGGCCGAGGCCGCGTTGGCGACCTTGGCGAGGTAGACCATGATGGGGCCCTTGTGGGAGGCGGCGATGGGGTGGTCGGGATCGTTGGAGCCCTGGGGTCCGCCGATGACGTGGCCCCACCAGGCGCCGACGCGGGCGCCGGCGGGCACGGTGAGGATGTTGTTGTCCTTGTACTGGATGTTCTTGTTGCAGGCAAAGTCGGCGTCGTTGACGTTCTGGACCGGGTTGTTGCTCGAGGGGGCGCGCACGCCCTTGAGCTGGCCCTGGTCAACACCGTTGACGGAGACCTTTTGGAAGATGGCGTGGCTCGTGGCCGTGGCCGCGAGGGCAAGGAGCGTGAGAAGCTTCATGGTGAAGAAGGAGAGGAGGAAGGAAAGTGATTCTGGGTGAGAAGACCTTCTTTCTGCTGCACCATCGTTGGAACCTTCGTGCCATGCTCTCTATTTATGATCTGCGCACCCGGAGAAGCTTGTTCATCGAGTTCGCCTGGTCGTGCGATCCAGGGCAGCGGTACATGTCGATCCGGGAGTTGCTCCTTTCAGACACGGATGCAACCACAGCTGACACGGCTGGTTCTGTCAACCACGGTACTCGCCTTGACATCTGGGGCAACGTCCTTGACTGAGCGGCTAGGCCCCCGGGCTAAACAAGCCTTGTCTGGGGCAAACCCCCTCCATCATCTAGCTGGGCCACCCGTGCGGCGGCGGTTCGAGCAAGGTCAGCCAAATCGCTTAGCTTACCTTGACCTGCCCAATCTGTTCGGCGTGACTCCGATAGGTCGTACCAAGAAACAAGGCCAGACGACGGCTTCTCTCGTCCGGTAATTAAATCAGGAGACCCGAAAAGCCTCTATGATCGGGCCGAGATCCAGCGCGATAAGCGGCTGGATATTGTCAACAGCACACAGAAGGCGGGGAGGCGAGAGAGCATGTGGCGTGCTTGCGCGCAGGCAGCCCATGGCGGGTGCCGGCCGTGCAATACTTCATCGGTGGCACCAACTTGTATAGAACGGACAGGAAATGAATGTCCGAAGTCCCGAACAGGACGGTGGCCAGTCGTCACAGCAAGTAGCCGTCTATGCGCAAGAGAGAAGTCTGGTCGTGTAAGCAAAGCAGGCCAGAATAATGTGGCAGGGGTCAAACGTCGTGTATCACCACTGACATTGCCGCACTGCAATGTCACCATGCTGCAGGCTGCAACGGCTTGTGTAATAGAATGAATTGGTCATCAACCCTGTTCGGGCGGTAACTCCAGCGTGTATCCAAGATAGCCCTTCATATCTACCGATAATGCAATGCCCACAAAGACACCGATGTCCCCAGCACGTGTCATCCGACGCAAATGACAAGAAACCAAATCCATTCGCCATCCCGTACAAAATTTCCAAGTAGGGTCTTGACCCTTGAACTCCCAGCGCGTCACATTCTGCGTGACAAAAATAGTACTCAAACGCCCGAGGCCTTGGCCTGGACAACCAATAGATCAGCCTTGATATTCTTGGCGATCAAGTTCGCCGCGGCAGCGCCGAGGCAGTCCTTGACCTCGTCGCCGACGTACTTCTCGGCGCGGCGGCCGAGGACAACCAGGTTCTGCCAAGTCACTTCCTTGGTGTCGACACGAATCTCCTCCTTCGCGCGGCTGAGCACCACCTCGGCAGGGTTCGCTGCCGTCACAGCCTCGTACTTGATGCGTGCTGCGACCGACCTGTCCGCATTGGTCGAGATGAACGACGGCACGTCGTCGTCGCTGGCATGCGCCGAGTCGGCCGAGACATGAATGATCGTGGCGGTGGCATCCTGCTTCTCGCAGAGTTGAAGAACAAGCATCAGGGCAAAGTCGTCATCGTGGCCTCCGAGGTAGGGGAAGAAAATGTGGTGAGACCGGTTGGTGACGGGAATGGCGGGTATGTCGTCGTGGAGGTCGCTGAATGAGTAGGCTCGCATAAGCTTGGAGCGCTCCTGCTTTGGCTCGGCTGTAGGCTGCGTGCTGTTGCCTTGAGGGAAGAAAATGGCAATATTGTGTTGCGTCGACGCGAATATCGACTTGACAAAGTTGATGTAGGTAGTTGATGTCAGCTTGCTCTCCGACGTGGCAAATTGCGAGTCGGTCAAGCTGCCCGTCTCGCTCCAGGGCACCAGCAGAAGGTCGGACGAAATGTCGGACGACTTGGCGAGCAGGGCTTCTGTGAATCGAGTCTCGGGCATGACGGCCACCTCACCGGAGACGGCAATCTTGAGGAATTGGCCGACAGTGCGGAAAATGTTGACGACAGAGTCATTACGGCTGTACTCATAGACCTGCGAGACAGTCATGACAGAGGAGTCACGATCCGTCAGAGCCATGAGACGTAGACCGTGGGCCTTGACAGCTGGCTGAATGGCATGGGCCTCGGACGAGGCCGCCGTCTTCTCATCAGCTGCCGTCTGCTGGCCGAGGGGCGCGGGCTTGCCAAAGAGAGACACGAGGTTGAGCATGGAAGGCATGTTGTCCAGGCGAAGATAGACGAGCACGCGACGGACCCGCGTCGTCGCAGGCTTGACCGCGGCGCTGTCCGAGCCTGATGCAGCCGAACCCAGAGGCGCGCCTGTGTCCCAGTCAATCTCGCCACGCTTCCACGCCGCAAGCTTCTTCTGATACGAAGGCGGGTAGAGGAAGGAGACGATGGGCGTCGTCGCAAAGGTCGTGAGCAGGGCCATGACGACGAAAATGGTGAATGTCCTGGTGCTGAGAATCCTAGCCTGCAGACCAATGTTCTACGCCATGTAAGCAAGGTAACGTGCAGTCGAAGAGGGTGCAGTGCTTACCAAGACGATGAGCTCGACAAGGCCCTTGCAGCTCATGAGGGCGCCAATAGTGAACGACTCGCGCCACACGAGGCCGTTGAGGCGGGCAGCGACGGTAGCACTCATGACCTTGGCGAAGAAGGCCGTCAAGGTGACGGCGGCGACGTAGCCCCAGGCGATGCCGCTGTCGAGGAGACCAATGTCCGTCTTGAGACCAGACAGGGTGAAGTAGAGCGGCAGGAAGATGGCGCCAATCAGATCCTCGAGCTTTTCGGTGACCTTGATGTTGAAGCTGTTCTCACGGGGCAAGATCAGGCCGACCATGAAACCGCCGAAAATGGCGTGTACGCCGATGATAGCCGTGAAGAATGCCGAGGCGAGGGCAATGAGCAGAATCAGGGAGATCATGCTCTGCGAGGGTCCATCCTCAATATTGCCGGTCCTGCGTAGGAGCCACAGGAGGGCTGGCTTGACAGCGTACATGAGGAAGAGCATGAAGCCGGCGCAAGACAGCAGAATCCATACGGCCGTGAGACCACTGCCGGCGTTGGCGAGGGCGACGCAGAGGGCGAGCAGGATCCAGCCTACGTGCGGTGAGACAAAAGTCAGTGTGGTTCCTCTCCCCCACCGTTGATTCGCCGCGACCTGTCACTCACCAACGACATCGTTTGCGACACCAGCCGCAAGCGTAATGACACCAACGGACGTGTCGAGGAGCTTGAGCTCGGTCAAGATACGGCAGAGCACAGGGAAAGCCTGGGAGACCATGATCAGCACTGCGGACTCGGGGCGCAGAAGGGGTGGCAAAGAGCGGGGCGCAAGACGCACCGTGATGGCAATGGCAACACCAACGAAGAGCATGTAAATGGGGAAGTCGATGTGCAGGATACCGGGATCGTCCGAGAACTGGTTGTAGATGCCCCACGCCAAGGCACATCCCATGCCGAAGGGAAAGGCGAGACCAGCAACGGAGACGGAGGTGGCGATGCGCCAGTTGCTCAGCAGGAAACCGACGTCCGTCTCCATGCCGATGATGAAGAGATACAGCACGAGACCGACGTTGGCGATCAGTGTGAGGTTCGGAATGGATTCGGAGGGAAAGATGGCATCGCGGAAGCCTGGTATACGACCCATGACGGAAGGGCCCAAGACGATACCGCCTATGACTTCTGCGATGACGCGAGGCTGGCGGATTTTGGCGAGGGGCCAGTGGAGGGCGTGGCAGACGATGAGGATCATGCCGGCCTGGGTTGGGCACGCACGCGTCAGTTTTGGTCCGGGGTTTTGGTGGCAACTCGCGCATGGGCGCCTACCTGGATGATGAAGATGACGATGGGATCATTGGGGTTGTACTCGGAGGGATTGGCGCCCTCAATGACGCCGCCCTGGGGAGGCGCTCTGTTGCCGTCGTCCGACATGACGGGGGATGGTGGCCGCGGCGGCCTTGGGCAGAGGGCTCGGCGATGCGAGTTTGCTGTGACGGGTCGGGAGGGTGGACAGACGGTAGGATGCAAGACGACAGAGGGCCGACGTGCCAACAACGACCGGGAAGAGCGGGCGGTGGAAGAGATAAAGAAGGGAAGCCAGCGGTTGGGACAAGATGGAGTACAAAGCCAAAATAAGCTCGAGTCAGCCAAGACTACGAGTCTAGCGCATGTGGCGCCAGATCGTGCCAAGACGAGGAAAGGACCCTTGGCCTAGGTGACCAGGTAGCACCAGAAGAAGGAGGGGGAGCACCAGAACAGGCGGGGGCAGGCGGCAGTGAGCAGGCACCTTGTCCAGGTTGTTGCTCTTTCAGCGCGCTCTCCCCTCCTTTTGCAGGGTAGGGGGGGCCGAGGAGTAGGCAGGCAAGCAAGGCAGGCAAAGACAGCGGGCTGGCAGGTGAGAGGGGAAGGCGTCCAGGCGAACAAGGGTTGGCGGGCAGGTGGAAGGGGGGCGATGGTGGAGAAGGTGGAGGCATGGAGGCGCATGCACATCCCGAAGCGCCCCCCCCCTCCTCCCCCCAATCTTGGGTTGCTATTGCTCATGTTCATGCTTATTCACTGGCTCCTCCTGCCTATCGCACCACGAAACAAACTCACTCCAAACGCCGGCACCCTTCAGTGTGGTACGAACTTGCCGTTGGGACGCCTGGGACGGTACCTTGGGGTGACAAGGTGAGCAGGCGAGGCGGTGCCCTCCAAGATCCTAGAGGGGCACGCCATGCCCTTCGGGCGGTGAGACAGTGGCATGTGGTATGGCCGCGTGCACCAGAAGGCTAGCCCAGCCCAGCCCAGCCGCCCGGGACGTTCGAGGACAGGACGACTCTGTCTTTCCTTTTTGCTTGCTTTCTTAGGGACTGCTGAGCGCGGTTCTGTCTCCCTCGCTGTGCCATTCCTCAGGTACCTAGGTAGGTAAGGTAGCTACATACTGATCTCCCTCCCCCCAACCGAGCCTACCACTACGAAGGCATGCAGCAATCTGATCATCGTGCTGCACGTGCTTCTGAGCCACGCAACCCTGCAGCTGCCAATCCAGCCCAGCTCGTGTCGCCAAAGTCAGGTGTCGGTGAGCCCTGTAAAATGACGTCAAGGTCTCTGTGCAACCGCTGCACCGCTGCACTGCTGCAGCGCTGCTCTTCCACAACTGTCGGCCGCTGCCCCATTCCCCGACGACGCTAGGTATATCCTCCAACGCTAGGTACATCCTACGACGCTAGGTACATTACACCTACACAGCGCAACGACAAATGGCGACCCAAAACACCATCGGACTGTTTTCGCGGGTGGCACGAAATGGGCAAAATGCCAAGCCATGTAGGTTACAGATGCCCTCCCCACGCCTTCGTCCGTCACGAGCCTCACCATCGTCTCGCTGCACGTCAACCTTGACACGGTCGCGTCGTGGGTCTTGTGCCACTCGCCGCCCCCTTCAGATGACTGTCGGCCATCCCCGATGACCGACATTTCATCTGCCACGGCATCCATCACTCTTTTCTTTCTCGTCCGCTTGGTCTGGACGCTGGTGGGCCGGTGAGACAGCAGACGCCATCTTGCACGACACACATGGCCCAAGATGCCAGCCGCCGCGGCAAGAGTCGAGAGAGAGATGCATCGCTCACTCACACCCTCCCACGCACGCATTCAATCATCTCACTATCCGATGTTCCCCCTTGCCGATGTCGATGACACTCGGAATTTGTGTTGCGGGCGTCGACGAAGCCTAACGACCAAACACACTGCACTGGCCTGGTCAGAGTGGTGAGACGAAGAGAGCATGTGAGCCCCCTCCCTCCTTTCCAGTCGGGAACAGGTGCCTATCAAACATTGAAGTCGCAAACCCCGCATGTTGCGCCAGCCGTGGAGCATGAAGGCATGCACGAAGGAGCATGGGCCCCAACTTGCTCAACTTGGGGGCCTCCAAACCCTTCCCCTCCCCCTCCCTGGCCTCTCTCCGCGTGACTCGAATGTCGTGATCTGTCAGTTTCCTCCTCCAAGCCTCAGCCTCCCTCGACATCTCCCTCTCTGGCTCCGCCTCCCCGTCCTGTGTCTCGTTGCCCCCGACCGCCCCCGTCGTTGTCTTTCGCTCCACTCATGTCTTTCCTTGGCAGTCCCCAGATTCCTGATCTGAAGCAAGATCGAGCGAGGATCCAGCACGTTGTCTGTTATTATTGTTGGTCCATCCTTATTTGGGGGCAAGAGTGGTGCCTGTTTCACGGCTCATCACGCTGACCCGCCGCCTCGCTCTCGTGTCGCAATGCCGAGCAGTGATAGCTGTCCAGCTGCCTTTCGCTCCAGCATATCGCGGGGATCTGCATCCTGCCTGCAGGGCGGCTTTTTGGCTGGGCGACCCCTGAACATGCTCACCTGGTCGTCTGTGGCCGTGGTTCGTGGCGATTATCCTTGCCGCCCGACTCTGAAAGAGCCATCAAGGTCCGACACGATCAGCAATTTCGGATGCCAGGCCATAATCCCTGACACGAACAAGATCAGTCTACAATCTCAATATTGATTGTTGAGACGAATTGACACGGAGGGTAGAGAGGCGCGCCCTAGGTGGTGTGTCTCATACTTTCGTTTGACGTAAAGTACACCTGATGGACCCGCCAGCTTCAGCCTCACGTTTCAGCGCACCGATTTGCTCGGCTCCCTACAATCAGATCCTGGATGGGCTGGAAGCTCGAATTCGAGAATTCGATGCATGTCCCCAAATGGCACGTGGCAATCACCACCGCCATGTCCAGGTGCGGTGAGCCACTCGGTCTGCATCCTTAGGTGCAAGACCAAGACTGCCAATGGTAAGACTTCGCAATGAAGGAATATCTGACCACCACCCTCACAAGAGCATCAGTGAAATGGGCGTTTTTTTAAAGCCTGATACAAGAATACATCTCGTGAAAACGGTCCTTTTGATGCTTTGCTGGACAGCCTTGCGCAACGAATGGCATAGTCAGGGCTTTATGGACCAACTCGCTGAAGTACGCCTCTAAACCCGAAACATCACGTAATTCGAGCTTTTGGGGGCACCAAGAGCGACGAGATCTTGAGATGGGTTCAAGGCAAGGTGCCACAATATGCAGGGAAAGCACACCGCCAATAAGTAGAGTCTACAATGGCAGGTGAGGAGGATTCGGCTGCACATGGGCGAGCTTGTTGAAGGTTGTTTTTTAACCTCGATTCATACCTGAACCTTATCAAGGCCGGCAGCCCTCATGCATGCGCGGGCAGCCATGTGATGAAGGAGCGCAAGGCCTCGGTTCTCGTTTAATGTAAGTCTTATTTCTGGGCCTACGAGCTGCTCGGCGACCATTTCTTTGCTCGTATGCGACTATTTTCCTTGTGAACCTTTCAAAGTGCAGTTCGTCAGCAGGGCCGCTTCTCGTAACAGGAACAGCCAGACTATCAATCACCACAACTGGATCACAATAGCTCGGATCGCCTTCATAGAGGTCAATCATGACTACTACAACACTCTTGATTCTACACGCACATGAAGCGGAGTTCGGCACATACTGACCTACAAGTAACCAACTCCCAGATCCCGTTGGATGCTTGGAGTCCTCTGGGTTTTTCTTTTCTTTGGATATTGGGACAAATCATAACTTTACTTCAGGCAGTACATCTCTCGAGTAAGGCATGTCATCAATTGTCCGAGCAGCCCCATCATCATCAACATACCTACATAGCTGTATATCAGTCAAGCCTTTAGTTTTGGATGTTTCGCAAACCTACACAGTCTCACACACAGTAGCTTTGACCCCGACCAACTCCAGCTTTCCAGCATCCTACCATCAGTACTGCTCGCATCAACACGCCTCACATCATGCAGCACGCTATCATGCAGCACGCGGAACGTGTCGTGGGAGGTCAATTTTCTTTTATTGTATATATCCTCGCTGCCTCCAAGAACAAGCCCACAGGGCTCCAATGTTCAGAGTCTCACAGACAAATATGCCAAGGCTGTCCTGCGGCCCCCGCGGAGTCCAGCCGCCTGGCAAAACCACGCTACGCCAATGCAATCCTCGCGAAGACGACCGCAATGCATACGGCGAACAGCTGCCCGAGCATCGCCACGCCATCTGGAAGTCCCAGTGGTTAATAGGTAAACTGAAGAGGGTGCACAAGAGAAGAGAGAGAGAGAGAGAGAGAGAAAAGCGGCAAGGCACAAAAACAGAGCAACGCGCGCTTCAAGCACGAGAGGTGGGACGGCTGCGCTTACACTTGGCACGGCGGGTGGACGAGGCGCCGCTGGGGGTCTCGCTGGCCAGCGCCGTCGAGGAGCTGGTGGCGGTGGCGGAGGCGTCGGAGGCTACGCCGGAGGTCAGGTCGTCGGGGGCGGTGCCGTTGCCGCCGGGGCCGCCGGAGGGGGGGCTGCCGTCGGGGGGGCCGCCGGAGCCGCCGCCGCCGCCGGAAGCCGAATTGGCGACACCACCCTCCTCGTAGAGGAAGACGGCAGGGGTGACCTTGGATGACTCGGTGGTGTTGATGCCAAAGGCGAGCCAGGCGAAGAGGCCATCCTCGGCCGAGTCGCCGAGCAGTGTGTACTCCATCAGAGGGTCAACGCCCTCGGTATCAGCCTCTTCAGAGAGAATGCTGTCTTCGGTGTTCAGAGTCATGTCTTGGGTGTTCTCCGAGTAGGGAGAGATCTTGTCGACAGCGTCAATGAGATCTTGGTCGAAGAAGGCCTGGCCGACGTGGCTGGCGTAGACGTCGTTGCCGAGAGTCTGGTTGGCGAGGAGAGTGGCGTTGGTGTGCGCCATCAAGTGAATATGGGTGGCGCGACCAGTGTAGTGACCGGGGAAGAGAGACTCGAACTGGGCGACGCCGTCGCTGTCGGTCTCCTGGATCCCGCGAAGCCAGGTGTTGTCGATGTTGCTCTCGTCAGACGAGTCGCCGTTGCCGTTGGCAATCACGCCGGAGTACACGCCGGTGGAGTTGCAGTGCCACATTTCGAGGTACACATTGGGGACGGGCTCGCAGGTGTCGACATCAATGACCTGGTAATCGAGGACGATGTTGACTCCCTCCTGCTCTTCAATGATGTTGCGACGAACATACTCACCACCAACGTCTGTTGAATGTTAATCCTGAACGAGCCGGAGGCTGTTTTACCCGCGACTCACAGTAAGGACCCTGCGTCACCTCAGGAGTGAGAACACAGGAGTTTTGGCCGCTGAACAGAGTATCCGCATCCGTGTTGATGGTGTAGCCAAGCTCGGTCTTGTTGTGACTGGTAGCCAAGACGGTATCGACATCGCGCTTCTTCTTCAGAGCGACTATTCCATGTCAGATGTTTGAAGCACAAAGCGGCACTGGTACGGTCAACTCACGCTTCTCACGGGCATCCTTGAGAAGGGCAGCGCGACGTTCAATGTTGCGCTGCTCAACACCGCGAGCACGAAGCTTGGCGGCGCAGTGAGCGAGGGAAGCTCGCTCAATGTTTCCGAGAAAGGCGCGGCGCTCCGCAATCTCCTCAGAAAGATCGTGGCCAGGATGGGCAGCCGCCTGAATGGAAAGGAGGGCAATGCCCGAAGCGACAGAAGTCAGACGCATGTTGGCGAAAACGTAGGGTTGCGATGGTGAAGTCTCAAGAACGAACAAGAAAAGGCGTTGAAAATCAAGAAGCTGGCGATATGGTGTGTGAGAGAGAAGGAGACGGAGAGCTGTGGTGCTGAAAAGAAGGTTTAACGATTGAGAGCTGAAAACTTAGTCTGCTATATACTGATTCTTCGACGACTTGCCAGTCCTCCCTTCCCGTCCTTTGACGTCAACCCAGATTGCTGTGCTACGCAACCAGCACCAGGACGCGTCGCCCTCTCCGGGCATAAGTTGAGCCTCATGCAAGGCGCAGCTCTGCCGAGGGGCTAGAAGCCGCGTTGTCGTTGCCCCATCATGGGGTTCAGATGCTTGCAAATGCCGTTGGCATGTTTCGACCTTCAGGTTCTCGGATCAGCCCCGCCACAAGCTTTCGGTATGTGGGCGGTTGTTGGCCTGTCATCCGATCGAGCCTTTCCCAATCAGTTAGTGCCCCCGGAGTTTTTGAGTCGGGGCTTTCCTGAATAGGACGTAGATGCAGCATACGTAAGCTGTTCAGGGGCTTTAGCCTTGACTCGCGGTCTCCTTTTCTCAGCACCATCATCCACTGCTGTGCAATTCTAGCGCATTCATGACTTGCGTAAGCCTTAAATTGTACGTCTTGAGGAGGCGCGGCTAGGTTTTGCTGATTTCACCTGCAGTACTAGAGGTTACCGAGGGACAGATGAACCATGCGCATGTGGCCAAGGCTTACCCCACGTCGGGATCATCTCAACTGGCCCTTGGCGGAAGCTCGAGCAATCGAGTATCGGCACGGAAGGGTCTAAATGAGGATCAGGAGCTCCATTCACCAGCCAAGTCAGCCCTGTACCCTTGCATAATTCATCACACTTGGTATCATCATTGTTGTTGCAAGCCAATAGGCACCTGCACATTGTAATTTGCTTGATCTGTTGTGGTCGACTCGTCGTCATCCTAGATTACGACGTTGTCTGTTGTGGGGTGAGGCTGCTGTGTCTAGGGATTCAACATGCATTGTCAAAATTTTTATGCTTGCTGAACCGCCAGTTGAATGTATTTACCATGTTTTTCAAGTCATGCCTTTGCGATCTGATCGTTCTCCTAGACAGGATGCGGTGGAAAAAAGCGACGCGCGGTTCAGAGGCCTCCTCTTGTTCAGAAACTGATGGTAATGTCGTGATGGGGGTCGTCACGTATCAACGCGCCCGTGTCTCCATGCTGTTCAGCTGGCAAAATATTCATTTGGACAGTCGGATGCAGCTTATCATCTCATGAGAATGGGTCAAGAAATGGGTCAACAATGAGGCCATGGTCCATCCTCGTTCGTGTTGCATCGCGCAACACATATGTCCCAAAACGGTGTTACAGAGGGGCAAGTCCGATATGATCTCCTGGAAAGGAGATGATTTTAGAATTACCACCTCTAGTGCGATCTGCACACTTCATATCTATCTGAGATGCGACCTCCTCTTTGTATCCCTGCGGCTCGCTGGACATTGCAACTCTGACGTCTAAGCTTGACACTCATGCATAATCACCAAAGAAGATCTCGCTATGACAGAGCTTCATAACGCCACAAGCTACATTGGATTTGGCTAGAGCAACGGGGCTATTACAAGTGCCTGTACAAAGGGCGAAGGGCCCATCACTTGAGCAGAGGGGCTCAAAGCTAGGCCATCCGCAGGCTATTGTGCTGATTACTTCCACGCGCCATACCCTGTCATTCTCCATTCTTTCTGTTTCAGCGTCATGCGAGGTCTCTTCGTGTTGAAGGCCTAAACTGGTCGGAATTCAGGATCCTGAGACCGAAAATGCCTTCTGATCATGTAGTTCCTCAACTCGTTTGCCTCAGTCTCTTTGCAAATTAGATATTCCTCCGAAGATTCCGTTTCTATCGCTCATAAATAGTTTACTATACATTGCAATGTTCATGTTAGAGACACTTGACCGCTGCACATACTTTCGGCAGTGGACCAATTTCAGGCTGTAATGCTGATGCTGGCGTCGACGGTCAAACAATCGCATCATTATACCTCAGAATCGTGGCAATACTTCTGGTATCAACCATGTCTTCTCTACATGGCAGTGTTTATGCTGTGCTTGACAGATCAAACAGAGCTGGGCCTCAGCTGCCATTTACAACTGCCTTTAGTTTTCATCCCCTCCATAACAAAGGCCATGTCAACTGGCGTGTCAATGACTGTATCAGTTGGGTCGTCCACCTATGAAGAATTCGCATGCTACTTGTAACTGAGATGGGGATACTGTCGTCCCCAGAACGACCTAGTGGCAGCCTTAACGTGGTCGCAGGTGCCTTACAGGAGATATCCAGAATGATACATGTTAATCAACGTTGTTGATCCGAAGGGACCGCATTTATGGAGATATAAGCCCCCGGCCTATCGTAGATCACAAGTCTAACGCGTGTAGGGTAGAAGATGAGAGGTTTGAGGGATCATGCTCACACATGATCCAAAACAGTGGATGCCAGATCTGTGTCAAGTATAGGCAGTCATAAACCAGACACATCTTGAAATTGATTCAATATTCTCAAAGTATGTTTCCCGGTGCTGAGAGAAGACAAAAAGTTACACAAGATATTAGCAAGCGTGAAACTACTGTTCATTCCACAAAGTTTATCACTGGTGGAATGTGCGAATCATCGTTCACGCTTTGCAATTTTTCTAACTACTTTGACCCCTTGACCAACGAATTTGAAAAGACAGGCAAACATTGATAGCAAATCAACGAATTCGTATAAAGTCTCGACCTCCTCGAGACATGTCATGGAGAAGGTGGCAGCTACGGTGATATCTATGATCGCGAAATCAAATGGAAAGACATCCCCTGGACCAGCGATGACTGTTTTTCAAGGTGTGTATCCCCTTCACGTACGGCTCCACGTGAAATTGCGGTTCAGTACTGGCAAAGACGCCGACGGGCTTCAGCTTGATGCCAACGGATGGGAGTGGTGCAGGCCTGAGGATATGCTGTTCGCGATTAACAGCCTGCGCGCCGCATATGCTGATTGGTAAGTAGAATACGGAAACGCGATGGAGAGGGGGGTTACAGGCTGCGAGGCTTATCGTGACGCCTTTGCTACCGTCATATTTGACGAGAAACTGAGTCGTGTGCACGAACTTTGCACCCTGCTGGGCAGGGTTGAATACAGCCTGTCCGCGGTGGACATTGCCACCTTCAACGATGAGGATGATTGTCAGTTCGACGGCAATTTCACATTTGAATAGGTGGGTACATGATCTGCGGTTTGGGGAGCATCAGGAGAATAGAATTTTTGAGGGTAAATTTATGGCGTTTCTTGCAAATTATATCTATATTACGAGTAAAACCGTTTCCCCAAACGGTGCCCAGTAAACTCCTGAACATGGTATGTGCTTGTGTGATGTACGACATGATAAGAAATATTGGTTTGTCGGGCAGACGTTCTCCCCAGTCTGGACCCGGTGACAGGGTGGAGCAGAAAAATGCTCCCAAATGCTCGCTGGAATCAATCCCGATTTTGACGTTCAATTTTCCCTCCCTTACTCGTGCGAATCGGCATTACGAAGGGGGCGCCGCGGCCAGGTCCTCCTTGGGAGCCGTGACCTTTTCGGCGTCAGTGTACTCGGGCAGCTCAGTGTCGGTTTCGGGGGGGATGACGTCGACGTTCTCGAGCTCGAGCTTGAAGCTGGGAACCGACTCAAGGGCCTGGACAGTGCCGTCGTGCTGCATGGAGGGTTAGCCTTCTATTTCAGGCGAATGGGAGGGTGGCTTAAGAAGACCACAAGAAGGAAGGAAAACATACCTTGGTGATCTGAACGCGCAGGGCGGCAAGGAGATCGTTGACGACAACCTTGGTCTCGGTATCGGCGAGCTCCACGGGGTCGGCAGCCTTGTCGAGGGAGAACTTGCCGTAGAACAAACCCTGGGCGGGCTGCTTCATGACGATAAAGTTGCCTACGCTCGTGACGTTGGCGAACAGCTCGATGGCGCAGGGCCTCTGGAGCTCCTCGACATTGACCTTGATCTGGGCGAAGTAACGCGTCACCTCCTCGTTCTCGCGCTTGCGGACCTGGGGGCGGGCCGCGCCGGTGGCGTAGTACTTGTTGATGAGGGCGGTGGCGTCGCGCTGGAGCTGGCCGTCGTTCTTCTTCCAGTACTCGAGTCCCTCGTAGGTGTAGCCGAAGCCGCGGATGGAACGGACCGAGTTGGGCGTGTGGAAGCGGCCGGGCGCGGCGAAGAAGGGCTGCAGAGGGCTGTTGGGGCCGATGGAAGTGCCGCCGGGGGTGCTGAAGCGGGCGCCGCCGCTGTAGGTGCGGGTCAGGGTGGCCTGGTCGGGGCGCATGAACTGGCGGTAGGCCCAGAGACGGTCGACATTGGCGTGGTGAAGCATGAAGAGGGGGTCGAAGGCGGAGTAGTCGGCATCGAGGAACTGGAAACCACAAGAACCATCCCAGTGGACAGCGTTGTGGATCTGCTCGAGCGAGATGCCGGAGCTGCCGGTCGAGGCAAACTCCTCAAAGCTGGCCGAGCGCGTCATGGCATCGTAGGTCCACGACCTGTACGAACGGCGGGCCATGGCGGCGTTGGCCGAGTTGGGGTAGTTCTGGGGCGCGCGGCACTTGAAAACCTGGGCATCACGGGAGAAAGAGCCGAACCTCTGGTCGATCGCAGACTGAGGGAAGCGGTAGTAGCGCAGCGGGTTCGAGATCTGGATGGTCCTCAAGCCGGAGCCGTTGGGAACGCGGACGGGCAGCGTGTTGGGGACGGTGACGGGAGGCACGCGGGCATCGTATCCCCAGTCCCAGAAAGGAGCGCGCAGGGTCTGGGCGGCCTTGACGTAGGTCGCGCGGTGGGCAGCGGGGTACTGGTTGGCAAGCCTGATGGCGGTCTCGACTAGACGTTGCTGGAGGGGACGTGTCAGTGAGCAGGCTTGTGGAAGAGTGTGAGACCAGACCGGGGTACACATACCTCGAAGGCCAGGACGTAGGGGCGGTGCCACGGGAGGAAAAGGGCTTCCTAGAAAGGCACAAACTGGTCAGCCGGGAATGTTCACTCTAGCGCGCTGTTGTTGATGTTTAGACCTACACCGTGGGGGCAGTAGCCCTGCCATCCATTGGTGTTTCTCCTGCCGGCGTTGTTCCATTCGATGTAAGGCCTGCCGTGAATGCCTTTGTGATGTCAGTTTAGGAATGTTCATTAAGCTTAAGCTTGTATTAAAGTTTGGCTTACCGGCGATCTGAAAGTATGACAGACGGTTGTTGGCATCCTGAGCATAGAGGTCTTGCAGAGATCGGAGGTAGAGATCCCTATTTCGGAAGAGCTGTCAGTTTCTCTGGAAGGTCTTGGCAGAAGGATAAATTGGGGTGCATGAATGCAGATTGGACGTACCAGGGAGCTCCTCCGTTCTTGTACAGGATGTTGATGTTTTTCCTGTAGGGAACCGCGCTGCCGGCGGCGACCTGAACACCGGTGATGGGGTAGGCCTGAGAGGCAACGAGCGACGCCAGTGCGGCGAGCACCCAGACGGTGAGGGAGAATCGCAGCAACATGGTGATGGTGTTCGGTCAGATCAGGTCGAGGTCTGATAGATCTGGACTTGATCACACTAATCGAACTGAACGAGAGCCAGAGGAATGTATGGGCAAACGTGGGCAAGGAGAGGTTATATTGCCTCGAAGGGGGTGTCAACCCAATAGTGTGAGCCACCATGGGCAAACGTTCCGCCCCAGGGTGTCTCCAAGAAGAGGACAAGGGCGCGAACAGGCCTGGGCCCTGCGAATCGCGCCGTCCGGATGCCTAAAAGCCAATCGGCGAGCGTGAGCCCCTGTACCTGAGTCCAAGTACGTGAGTTAGCGCCGGGGGGCTGAGTCGGGGCCGACCCAAAGATGCTTAGTTTGTCCCATCTGGGGCGTGAAGGCTGTGAAGGCTTTCCCAAGTCGCGTATCGGTAGGGTCAGGGGTAGTGCATGGCCTCGAACCGGGCTTGCCTATTTCCAGCTGAGGGAGATGAACGGATGGTCGTCCGCTGACAAGCGCCACGAAGCGGCATTCGCTGTGCCGGTCGCCTGGCCATGTCATCAATACGAGATGGGATGCAGCTGTGTGTCCGGCCTATGTGCTGCATGGTCTGTCATGGTGTGGCAGCAACAATTGCGTGTCTTTTATTTGTTCGTCTTGCGTCTGACGCCCACTCTCCCGCTCTCTGCCATCTTCCAGAGCTGACCAGTCTCGTGGATTCTCTGACGCCGACCCGCGCGATTACCGGCCTCTAGCGGATGCCGATCCTCGCGCTGGCGGACGCCCTGGCTTAGCCCTAGCGAAAGGGGTTTCTCATAATACGAGTCTCGCTAGCATTCGTATGGCGCCCGGGCCCCCCCATTCAAAAGATCAACTCATGCGAGTGTGTTGTCAGCGGGACAGCGACACAGCATCCGGCCTTCCATCCCCCTGAGAATCCTTGCTGTGTGCCCACTCTTTCTAGCTACGTTGCTTGGACATCGTCCGATCGGTCGCTCGAGGAAGCCCGGGGCACAGCTGGGGTCCTGGGCTTCTGTGGACCAAAGAACAACCAAGGACTTCGGATGAATCGAAATCATAAGACGACAGACACCCAGCCGCTCCGCTCGTAAACGCACGCAGCCACACGTTTATTCTCCTAGTCGTCTGACCAAACCTGACCTCTCTTGACCAACGCAGCCATCATGTGTCGTGGTTTGCCCAAGGCGCTTTCGCACTGGTCGGTCGAACCTAAATGCCACCATCCAAGAAGCTTCATTACGCAATAGTCAGCTTTTCTTGGTTGGAATGCAAGACCCGTGGCAAAGGGTAATGATGAAGAAGGAAAATAGCCTGTCAGGCACATCGTTGGTAGTCTGGCCGGATTGCCGTGATTACCTTCATCCCTAGCATGCATGTCTCATGCTGGGGGAGCCTATGAGCCCTACGTGATTGTGCGATTTGTACAGGAACACGTCCGCCCCAAGCCTCCCTTCCGAACTGCGACAGCCTCCAGTGGAAAAAAAGAAACAACTTTGAGGTACCCCGAGCAGCACGTCAGGAAATAGTTCAAACCAAAAATCCTGATCAAAAAACATACAACACCAGGTATTCGCCGGTGGTCACCCACCCGACTACTGGTCCGGCCCTTATTGGTTTATCTAGGGGAGAGCGGACGGGATCCCGAGGTTTCCAATAGGTATGGTCGTATGTGCTTGGGAGAAGCCATTCCCAGCATCATGTTCGCTGTTGAAAGGCGTTGTTCGGGGCGCGCGTCAGCCGCAGAGCCAAGAAAACTTCTTTATCCCCAAGAGGCGGGGGAGCAGCCCTGGGCCACTCAAACTCTCCTACCAAGGCACAGTCGATCTCCCCCTAAACAATAGCCTTCAGCGAGTCGTTAGTGCCGCCCAGCGCTGACTTTGACACATAAGCGTTATGCTTCATCTTCACCGTCGAGCTAGCTTAAGTTCAGGGGCTTAAGGCTGAAAGAACCGAGAGAGGGGGAACAAAGGACTGGTTCGTGCGACCTGTTGTGGAGAGTGCTGCGGAACGGCTGTGCGCCCGATGCTGGACTGTCCAAAATAAGCACATGCGGCTGTTTGGAAGGGCGGTGGTTGGGCAGACCTGGGAAGAGGGTGGGTGGAAAGGACGTCTGACACCTCGTATCCATCGCATGATGTGTGATGGTTGGGCTGAGACGGATTTCCGTTGTTCTCACCAATGGGTTTCTGCCCGCTTCGGCACTGCCACTGCGCAACGTTGTGCATGGCGTTGACCCGGACGGACAGAACTAGTGGCGTTGGATGTTTGCAGCCTCTGCGTGAAGTCAGAATAAGTTTGCTCTTTGAAATGGTTCCAACGCACGGCACGTGTTTGGGAAAGCATGTTGGTCGCGGGCATTACATGTTGGTTGCCAGTGCCGCGGTGTTGGGAACGCGGTTCTTTGGCTCGGTTGGTTGTCAGCAGCCAACTACCCACACAGCTAGGGACGGGTAATGTTTCCCAGCCCGAAAGAAGACCGTTCTCGTCGAATTGTTTTCAGCTCAACTTCAATGAGTCCTGGTATCTTGGTGGTTGCGATTTCCGGTCAATCGGAACGATTTGCCTGTCGCGTGATGGACCAAACCAACTACTATGGGGCGGTGACATTGTTCTTGACACCTGCATGGCGTTTTCAGCTCCCATAAGTTACACGTGAACCAATGAGCTATCCTTCTTGTTCGTGTCGTCGAAAAGTTTCCGGATTTAGCTTTCTTTGTCGAGTCTCGGGACTGTTCGTGTCATCAGCACTGCGATGTGCCGAGCGTCTGCTGGACACGGACAACCGGAGCGGCTGGTGCGAGTAACAGAAGAGAACAGCAACATGTCGATTGGATGCAGAGCTACTCTGCGGTGCTGGCGTCTGAACTTTGGATGCGTGCGCAGCAAAAGAACCCGCGGACGTCTCACCCGAGAGACAGTATACTGTCGAAATGAGCTACCTACACAACAAGCAATGAATATCCATGACATTGTGCAGTATTGACTATTGCCCCGTGAAGCCCTTATCACAAAAGCTCCACCTATTTATGACGATGAAGCCCGAATGGACTGCGACGTAAAGCAGTAGAAGCTTCGTCAGAGATATCCCGGGGTTCTATGTGTCGTATAGGAAGGGCCCAAACGCCATGGACCATCAAATACTGTGTGCTCAAGAGTGCGATTTTCAAAGATTCATATCTTGACATGACTCCCTACAAGCATGTACAATCGTTGAACAGTGATAGGTGTTCGTTTCTTGGTGCTCGTCTCCAACATAGCCTTGCCCTTCAACGCCGATCCATCTACTGGTCGTCGTTGATGTCAACCGCCGTCTTTGTCCACTTACGTGCCGGAACGCGACGCTTGAATAGAATGTCGATCTCGCGGTATGAGCGCCCCTTCATCTCCGGCAAATAGAAATACGCCATAATCAAGCAAAATAGACCTGTGCCGCCCCAAACGTACCCGCACTTACCGCCAAGGTTACCAGACTACCACCCACGGTCAGCAAGCTAATCACATGTTTACCTTCTTTCACAAGGTATAACCTACTTTAGGATTGAGCATGTAGCTTGCAAGAAAAATGCATGGGATGTTGATAACATAGTAGCAACCGCGGCCGATACCTGTAGTCAGGGGTCTCAAGCGAATCGCCGACGTCTCGCCAATAATGACCCATGACGCGGGCGCTGGGCCGAGCGTGAAGAGAACAGAGACAATGAGGCCAAGCGATGCCTGCGCCAAAGAGGCGGCAGTCGACTTGCCGAAGGAGGCGGCAACGCCGAGGGCGACGAGTAGAACGACATTGAAGGCGGAACCCCAGAGGTAGATCGTGCGGCGGCCGAGATATGTAGTAAGAATCCAAGACAGCATGACCATGACGGTTTGCAAGGCTGAGGTGATAAGACCCATCGCAAAAGCGGTGTCGGTGCTCATGCCAGCCTCTGTGAGAGCCACGTCAGAACCAATAGGTATCACACTGGCGGGCTGGGGTTTGACTTACGTTCGAAGAAATAGACGGCTTGGTTCGCGATGAGGTTACCAGTCAGGTTCTGCGCCGCATACACACAGCAGACAATCAGAGTACGGTAACAATCAGTACCCTTGAACAGCTCGAGGTGGTTGGGCTCCTTTTCAGTCTTCTCGAGTTCGATAGTACGACGCATCATGGCCACCGACTCTTTCAGGTTGACGGCCACAGACGTACGTCCCAGGCGCTGAACGGAACGCTCAGCATCTTCGAGACGGCCCCTACGGACGAGCCACCAAGGTGATTCGGGGGCAATCCAGATGAGGATGGCGAGAGGCGTAGGGAACATCCACTGTAGCGCAATAGGGACCCTGGGGTAATTTTTGATTAGCAACCACGAGCTCACCGCTTATGCTTGGATGAGGCAGAAGAAATGTACCTGAAGGCTGTCTCGCTGTCAAGCGTATTATAACGATAAGTGACAGCACCGACGATAATGGCACCAATAGCCCAGAACATCTGCAGCATCTGAGTGGCCGGCGCTCTCAGCCTCATAGGCACGATCTCACTGCAATAGGCGGGGGCATTTGCAATAAAGATACCCCATGGTATACCCTCTAGTAGCTGAGAGGCTAGAATAACGGGCAGCGAGTTTGCGAAATAGAAGACGAAGATGAAGGCGTTGAGGGCCATAAGCCCAGAAATAGTCGCCCAGCGGTATCCAATACGGCTCGTCAGGGGGCCGGCAAGACACACACCGATGATAGCACCAAGGGGACCGCCAACCTGAAGGGCAGACTGCCACTTGGTTTCGATGACCATCTTACCAGTCGCTTCGTTTAGAACGCCAAATTGAGCGGCGAAGGCAGGCAGCGCGATGAAGTTGCCCATCAGGAAGACGCAGTAAGACTCCATGATCTGGAAGACACCGTGTTAATTGGATGTGTTCTTGTAGCCCTGCGTGAATAGAAGAACACAGCCACGTACGATAGTGCAAGACATTGTGAAGGCCCAAAGAGAAGCCATGGGGTAAGCCTTCGCAGCTTCGAGCACGCCCATTTTGTGCTCCGTGTTCTCTGCCTCAATGGCGTCAGCCCTGTAGTCGGCGGCTCGAGCCTTTTCGTCGATGTCGTAGGCATGCTCGACGGTAGCTTTGTGTCCCTCCACCTCGGGATCGCCGCTGGGCGGCTTGGTATCAACGGGATTGCTCATGGTGTGTATCACGTTTGTCTGGAGTGAACGAAAAAGGGGAGACGTGGAGTAAAAGAGAACAGGTCCGTCCGGGAGTGTTCCTAGTGATGCCTTTTGTAGGGTTAAATCTGCTCCTTCTCTCCGGACTTATGCCTTGGATCAGATCGCAGTTGGAGTGGGCCAAAGATGGACCAAGGGCAAACATGGTGAGGGGCCGTCCTGTTGCTGCTCTGATGAACCCCAGGTCAGGCTCCGACGACGTCCATCAACCTGCTTGAAGTGCCGTCACTCACCGTTCGCGTCTCCACCACGAGAATAGCGTTGTAGTAGAGTCGTAGGCCTCCGCAGTGTGTATAGACGCACCTATGACATGCCAAGGCAGCATGGCGGTAGTTTGCAAGCAGGACCTATCATGCTCTGCACCCGAAAGCTTAACAGGGCATCGCCGGCATAGTGTGCGTGGCATCCCATCCGGCGGCCCGCAACAATCCCCGCAAGAGGGTACAGATCAGGGCACGACCACGGCGCCACTCGGGCATTCGGCCGCGCCAGGTTATAGCGGCTCGTAGGGCATGACTTGGTTCTATCACTAGTCACGTCCATGGACTTTGGCCGGCCCCAACTTCCCCGACTTCCCCGGCATTCTCCAGCCCACCTCCGCGTCTTTGTTTTGCGCTGTTTTCGCCGCATCAATGAACCGAACAACAGTGTCGCGTCGGCACAAGTTTGCCGGCTTAAGGGCTGACGAGACGTCTTTGAGAACAGGCTCTTGGGCTTCACGTGGTATACACAGCGGTAAGGGCAGGACTGGGCAGGAGAGCGAGAGATTAGTAAATGCGACACAGACGTGTGCCGACAAGTCCACTGTATGTAGCAGCAAGATTTCTGCGAAAGACCATGCCAGCGAGCACTCGGTTCATCGTCGCTCGCATGCTGTTTCTCGTTGTATCCAGATTCCAACACATCTGTCTGCAACGTGTGTCCTCTGAAGTCCGGCATTCGTACCTTGCCAAGGCATGCCAAGAAGAATCGATCGCCCGTCCTGCATCATTCCCCTTGAGCCGCCATCTGACATTCACGAGCCGCAACGACCCTTGCAACGGAACGCGCCGGACGCGATGCCCGAATGAAGACGACCACCGACAAGTTGATGACGACGACCTAAGCTGGCTGCCAGCACCATGTGCATATGACGGCAGCGATCTGCGCATCGGCTCGTCTTGATCGAGCCTTTGCCCCGCGGCTGCGGGGAACGGCGTTACTCATATTTTCAGAGCTTGTAGCTCACCCGCTTTCATGTAGCAGAGGGACTCGGTTGGCGGCCCTCGGCTCTCAAGTTCAGTCTCCGCACCGTCGCTCTTCCTGTCATTTCATCATTGCGTGCTGGCACTTTCCCACACTTTCTGGCTGTTTTGGTGCTAGGAGATTTGAACGGGTCGTGATTGTGTACACAGGTACCTTGAGCGGCTTAGTGGGTTGAATCAAAGTGTCGTCTGCTAAGTCACTGGTGTAATAATATCCGACGGGTCAAGCATCTGGCGCGTAGAGACTGTATGCAGCCATGCCAGCTAATGAGCAAGTGCGCAAGTAAGACGGCGAGTATTTCTAAGCCTCGAGATTTACTGCCAGGGATTCCCAAACTCGGCACGTGTCTGACACCATACTATTTTCCCTATATGATCACTCCTGGAGTAGGAAATTACCACATACGACCATACCTATTGGAAACCTCGGGATCCCGTCCGCTCTCCCCTAGATAAACCAATAAGGGCCGGATCAGTAGTCGGGTGGGTGACCACCGGCGAATACCTGGTGTTGTATGTTGTCCTGTGAATCTTTTTGCCTCATTTGAGGCTGAAGTGAGGTGGGCGACGCGCCCGTGGAAGCGAGCCGAACAAACACTGAAGAACGGGTCTTACGACCCCTGAGGATCGAGCTAGTACTTAGTCTGAAACTTGGCGGGGGCCATGCTACTAGGTACACATGTTCCGTGTGCCGAGAGACCGAGATGTAGGTTGGAAGTAAAATAACATAATTGCGGCGCTTGTACTGGATCATCCGTTCCCACACATGCTTAAAAATGGTGACCACACCTCGTGAGTGGACAGTCCCGAAGGAATAATAGTCTTTCATACTTTGTTTAAGCGTAGTCCGACTTGCACATGTCTCGCGAAGAAGAAGACGACCGCAGACGCGAGCATGGCGAGGCCGCAGAACAGCTGCAATCCTAAATACCTGCCTCCCTGGGACTCGACAATGGCGCTGGCGATGGGACTCCCCGTCAGGGCGCCGAAAGACTGGACAGCAAACGCAGTGCCGGTGCGTATGCCGATCTGGCGGATATCGGAGATTTGCGCGACGAGCGTCGGCGCGAGTGAGGTGAAGCTACCGGAGGAGAAGCCAAAGAGGATTGTGAAGACGATGATGGCTGTGTTTGTCTTGCTGGGGATCCAGATGGAGAGGGTGAAGACGGCGGCAAGGGTGACGATGCAGATCATGACATTGTAGCGGCCGAACTTGTCGGCGAGGATACCGGGGAGAATGCGCCCAACGATGCTGGCCAATGTTATCTCCTGAGGCTCCAGTTCAAGACGTTTATATACTTGTAAGCAAAGGGGGAAAAGCTTACCTCACAGCGTGCATAATAGGGAGGAGGTAAATAACCAAACCAGGACTCATGCCCTGCGCCTTGGCCTGCAGAATGATAAAGTTGAACGGCAGAAACATGCCCCAGAAGAAGAGAAACATGCCAAATACGGTGAAAGCCATGGCCGGCTCTCTCAATCCTTGCACGTACTCCCTCAAAACAAGCGGCCTCGGTTCAGGTGGTAAGCGCGACCGCACGGTGCAGCACGAGACGCCCATGAGGGCGAGGAACAGAAAGGCCACGGCGCGAATGGTCCAGGGGAAGCCCACACGGTCAATCATGCGTGAGATCATGATGGGCAGGACGACGCCGCCGACGGAGGAGCCGGACATCATGATGCCAAAGGCCGTGGCGCGTTTCTTGCGGAACCAGGACAGGGTCGCGGACATGCTGGCGCTCGCGGCGGCGCTCGAGCCAATAGGGGCCACGATGCTCATGGCGAGGAAGAAGTGCCAGAACTCGGTCGACAGCGAGACCATCATCATGCCGAAGACGTAGGTCAGGGTGCCGCCGACGACGATCCACTTTGGACCGAAGCGGTCGTAGACGCGGCCGAACTGTGCTGTGAGCCAAGACCAAGGCCAGGATATGGAGGTGGTGAAGATGTGATGATGCGACTTACAATGACGGGCATAAAGTTCAGCGTCCACAGAAAAACACCAGTCACCCACGAAATGGTTGATGACGGATACTCTTTGAGGGCATCGCTGACATAGTAGGCCTGGAACACGCCGACGCTGTTGCCGAGCCCAAAGGTGCAGAAGAGGGTACACCATGCTCCGAAGACGGCCGTCCACGCACTGGCGCCACCCTCGTCAAAGTCATCCGGGTCGACATACGGAGCTTCGGATGGTGGCAATGCGTCGCCGGGAGCCGTGGCTACGGGAACAGTGCCCTTTTCGTTGTGCGGTGATGATGCATCGAGGGACTCGGGATACACGGCGGGGGACAGATCTTGTTGCCTCGACCGCTGTGCATTCGGCCGAGAGACATTGCCATCTCCGGCTTCAGGGCCACTGAGCCGTAATGGTGATGGTCTTTGCATTGTGAGGGGGGAGTGACGATTGGCCTGGATCGCTGTCACAAAGGCTAGCCGGGGATATGCTTGCCTGTCGATCGATCAATCAATCATATAAAGTTTGAGCTGGCATTTGGTGTTTGTCTCACCCATGAGCGCCGACGCAACATTCCCACGCGACAAGGTGATCTCGTCGTCTGTTATATTCCGATAGCCAACAAGCTGTGTGATTCGTGGGGAATACACTCTCCTGTCTTGGGGGGATCAGCATCCCACCGCCAACACTCATTACCTAACTCGGGTTCAATTAGTCCGTGTCGCCATCCAGATGTCGTCCGATGAGGCCGTATCCGGATGTATAAGAGGGAGTTGTTAATCGGGGTTGATCCTTAAGTTGACTCTGGTCATTACTTGGATGGAACCTCATGTGCTGTTACGCAAGCGGAAGCCATCGGACATCTCGCTCTCGTGGCTGGCTTTGTTCAATGAACGACAGTCGCTATGGATGTCGCGCCCAAGGCGTATATGCATGCAAGCCAAGCCTCAATACTCAATCCCCGTCGAATCGTGTTCCACTCACACCGACGCGTGGGGGGCATTGGTCAGCACAGATTCGCGCAAGAGCGCAAAGAGTAATAGCTGTGCTCAAAGAAAAAGAAAGCAATTGGTATTCGAAATGTCTAAACCGCCCTGTTCGCTCGTGACTTGTTCTCCCGGTGCCTCTTCTCCTTGGCCGCTGTCTTCTTCCTCTTCATCCACGACTTGTTAAGATCACCCCTGTTCTCCCAGAACCACTTTTGGAAATCGCCTGAGGGCCCGGCAGCGGCAGCAGAAGCCTCCTCCTCCTTGTCCTCGTCGCCGTCGGCCATTGCTGTGTCGTCGGCCTCATCCTCGTCCAATTCGTCGCCTGCCCAGAAATTCTTGATCCTCGAGGGGTGGGCCGTATCAGGCGTCGGTGCAGCACTTCTAATATTGCGCCACTCGAAGTCCTCTTGCGTGTAGGGTGTCATGGGGATCTGCAGGCTGGGAACTGCGTCGTCCTCCTCAATATCGTCATTGTCGCCGCCACCACCGAAGAAACTGAAAGGCTGAGACTCCTTGGCCGGTGTTGTCGTCGCATCTTCACCCGCCCGCGCGCGCTTGTAAAGAGCCTCGAGAGGGTGCACCTTTGCTGGGGTTGCAGGTGGGATCTTGATAGTGAGACTATTGCTCGAGCTGGATGACTTGGGGCGCGATGCGTCGCCCTTGAGTGCCGATGCTGGGCTGTTGGCGGCCTCCTCGGTAGATTCATCATCTGCTGCAGGGCCGTCCGACACTTCCTCGTCAGTGGAAGAGCCGCTGCTGCTCGTTTCATCATCGCTGGCGGCCGCAGGTGTGACCTTGACACTGAGAGGGGTAGACGTCTGTTTCGCTTTTGTTTCTCCTTTCTCCTCTGATGCATCGTCCTCCTCCGAAGAACTGCCGCTGCTGCTCGTAGCATCATCGTCGACCGGTGCCGGCACGGTAGTCTTAGTGGGGGTCGCAGCCTTCTCGGGTTTTGCGGCAGGGGCCTCTGCTTCCGAGTCGTCATCCTCAGAAGAGCTGCCACTGCTGCTCGTCGTGTCATCCTCGACAACTGGCGGTGCTATCGTCTTCTTCTTCTTGCGAGAATCAGACTTGGGCTCGGCCGGCTTGCGGACCTTGACAGCTTCCACGACATTGCCCTCCTCGTCCACCCAGCCCTTGCCTTCGACGTACTCAGCATTGGACGGCGCTGCATCCGAGGGTTTGGTCGACTTGAGGAAGCTGGGGTACTTGGTCGTGTTTGAGAACTCGTGAATGACCGTCTCGCGTGACTTGCCCTTCTTGCGCTTCTCGACGGGGGCATTGGCCGGCAGCTTCGTCTTGAGCAGACATTCCTCCTTGTCGGTGTACTTTGACCGCTCCTCGCGCTTCTTCTTCTTCTCCTTCTTCTCTTTGCTCTTTTCTTTGTCTTTCCGGTCCTTCTTATTGCGCTTCTCCTTGATCTTGTCCTCGTCTGTGACAGTCCAGCCTCGCTTAACCTTGCGATCCTCAAGCTCGACGCCGGGAATGACATTATAATCGCGCTTCCGCTTCTTGGTTCCTTCGGGGTCGTCGCTCGACTTCTTCTTGCGCTTCTTGCCCGTCTCCTCCTCTTTCGCCGACTCGGCCGCGGGCTCAGGTCTCGCCTTTTCGACGCGCATCTTGGACCCCTTGAGCACGGCGCCGTTCAGCTTCTTCTTGATCTTCTCGGCGTCCATGGCGGGCAGCTCCACAAAGCCGTAGCGCTTCTCGGGGAAGGTTTGCAGGTTGTGGAAGGAGATGCCTCGTGCCTTGGGCAGGGCGCTTGCGGGAACGACGACTTTGAGGAGATCGGCGTCGAATGGTGTGATATGCAGCCTGGTGTAGGCGTCGGGGTCGGCAGCCGTGGGTGCCTGGTCTCGAGATGCGGGGGCTGCAAGCGAGGGAGACTCGGGCATCGTGGCCAGGGAGTTGTCACCTCGCAGTTAAGCGCCGTGGACAACTGGAGGGGGGACAAGGCCGGCAGGTCGGGTGATGAGGATGTTCAAAGGCAGAGCTCGAAAGGCTCTGTTGCGCAAGAATTTCATTGGCTGTGGAGGCAGGAGCTGATGGTGTGATAAGATAAGCTTTGATAAGTAAGCAACCACCTCACTCCCGCGACTCCTTGTATTCCCAGGGTCGCCAGATCTACACAATTGTCAAATGGCTGGCTAAGTCTTGATGGTATGAAGATATATGAACTTGGATCTTCTGTATTGGTATTTTAGTATTGACTCTGCGGTGGCTGTGCCGCCTCATTCAGGTGCACTGCACCTTTGGAAGTGGCGACGGGCTTCCTTCCTGCGTCCCGCACCAGCAGTACCTGCCAGCAAAGGAACGTGCCAGTTTCGGCGCCAATGTCTCAAGGCCACGCGGACCTGCATTTGCACGTTCTAAACCTGACCATATCGTCTCCGCAAAATTCTTTACCTGTATTGGACGTTATTGTATCCTCATACGGCATCACCTACCGTTTGGAGCCTGCTGGCTTATGCTCGGTTATTGACATGTCCGACGTCGGCACCGAGGAAGAACGCTTCTACACCGCGAACAATACCCGCAACGAGAGCTTCGCTTCCGAATTCCTCAGTCCTCATGATACCGCCAAACCCTCCGAGGATGTGCTCTTCACGGGTCGCCCTTCTCTGAACATAGCCATTCAGTCATCTCAGAACGAAGGTTCAAGCCGTCACTGGTTCGACAAGCAACGGAAAACATTCAACCTAACTCCTCGGCCGAGAAACACGATTCTATGCAGCCTCATATGCAATGGCCAACCTGAGGACTGCGTCTAGCAGGCTCAGCCCGAAACTCAGTATCATCGACCCCAAAGATGCATGAGCGTCGATGAGACAGGTGTGCAAATACACCAGCGTTGCCTCCCGCCTGCCGTTCGTGCAGCGGCGAGCAGAGGATCTCTTCTTGGAGCTTTTGGTCAGGGTATGATGCGTTCGAAATTCAAGTCCGCATGGAAGCTCACGCGATAACACAATCAGGTGACGCCTGTCTAGCCTCGACCAAAGCTGCCCCAAGCTCGACCGTCAGTGTCATCAGTACCGTAGGACAGAATCTGGGATGGTTATCGAGCGATTCTTTTACGGAAAGCCTCCTACCTCCTGCTCTGAATATCCTAGAATCGCAATTTTCCCAGAGCACCGGCGTCCAGGCCCCTGGAGCGATGCTCGCTAGCCCCGGAGACAGCATTGACCGTGTCAACCCGTCTTTCATCCATGATGCCATCCCCGAAGCCCGTGAACACCGATTTGATCAGAAATACGTCGAAGGTCCAGAGACTGGCACAATTAGTGAACCTGTCATTCCGGAGGAACTCAATTTCTTCTTGAACGACAATTTTATTGAGGATATTACTGGACTACCCTGCCATGAGGCGTGCTCATCCCAACACGAGCCGCTTGCTCGGATGACGATGCAGCCTACCGATACAGCCTTGCCAAATCAGCAGCGCAGGAAGCTCAGCTGTCGTGATGCATCAATCGAGATCAAACATGCCACAGCAGTCGATCCGGCCACGACTATCAGCTTACCGCAGACTGATTTTTCGACCCGAAGTTCTGTCGATGGCCATCTTCACACCAAGGTTCGCACGCAGCCGCCGAACACGATCATACTGTCTCGGCAAAGTGTGACGAGCATCCGCTGGCTAAGCACACCGAATGCTTCGACCTTAACCCTACGAGGTTCATTCGATAATCCGACTGAGCTTCTTGTAGGACATCCCGAAGGCGGGTCCACCGATGCCTCTTCTTCGACAATCAACCCACCCGAAGCTGTGTACAGACTAGGCGACGACAGGGTCAACCTTTGTGACTACGCAATCAGGCCCCGTACCGAAGCGGGCGAAAGTAATGACGGCCAAGAAAATGAACGGGAATCTTCCGAAACTTGCAGTCCAATCTCCTTCAAGTCTTTTCCTGCGCTTGGAGTTCGGCAAAGCACGCAAGACTGGTTGAACCCGCCATCCAACATGCCCCTCCAAACCGAGAGTACGAGCAGTCTTTACCACCTCGGTATTGATGCGCGAAGCGGCCATATCTTGACAATACCCTCCGTCTTTGTTGATGAACCCATCAAGCCACGACATTGTAACCATGGAATGTTCCACGAAGATATTTTTGAGTGTGGCGCTTTTATACCTGGTAGCCGGCGGGCTACTGAAATCAATATCTGCACAGTCACAGACGCAAGACCTGAGAGAATGGGAGCTGCCATCGGATCCTCATCCCGTCGCAGGCGGGGAACCATTGATGGCACATCCATCCCATTGTCTGCTCTCCACCAGAACGAGTCAAGGGCGCCTCATCTCATGGACAGGATTCGAGAAGGAGGCAGGTCGATCACGAGAAGGTTGTCTGCTGTTTTTCAAGGAGTTGTGGTGTCGAAAGGCACAAGAGCACCCGCTCCGTCAGCCGACTCGGAGGACCACTCAGCAGACGTGCAGGCATCTCAGCGTCTCGGTGGGCGCGGCTCAGGGGGCACTGAGTATCTCGATCCTTTCGTGAGGAGGACTGTCGGTAGCCCAGCGGTAACAACCCGTCGAAACACTTGTTCGGAAGATTGCCAGCCACATGCCTGTGAGGGGGACATGAGCCCGAAGATCCATCCTGCAAACGGTTGAGTGAGGGAGAAGATCCCTAGAATTTCGCTTAAAATGCACGATGAACTACCTCACCTGAAACGGCCCAGATTGACCGGCCGGTAAGCAGCTTTAGACAAAACTCGCTCCCTCAACAATACTTGATTATTTCCCTACCATGTTCAAAGCCTCCTCGCTGGGTTATGTGCATGTTAACAAGCGGGCTCACCCTACCCTCTCCACCCGATTCCCCTCCACCCCACCGCCGGGCCCAGGCCCGCAGCAGAATTTGTTCTACCATGTATCCCTAGGTCGAATACGTGTTCCATCAATAGGTTCGGTGGTGTAGTTGGTTTATCACGTCAGTCTAACATCTGATATTTCGTCAAGAGAGTTAGTGTTCACTGAAGGTCGGGAGTTCGAGCCTCCCCTGAATCAGTTTTGCCTAAATGCCAATTCTCAAGATTTACATTGTTTTGGCATTGATCCTCTCTCATTTTGCCATTTGCTTGCTGCTTCTCCCAAACGCTGGCTAGCTATGTGGACATGAGGTGTGTCTATCTACACTTTTGAGACCCCAAATCCTCCGCAGATGTTCTCGTTTGCCACGTAAGACTTATCACCACTGTTGTACGCTCTTAGCAGAATGACCGTTCCATGTATCTACGAATGACGATATTCGACTAGAAAGCAACGAATCCAGCCACCATGACAACAATCAAGACAGCACAGCCCTTGAATGTCGCTTGTGCCGCTATGGACTTATTATCCTCCTTCTCTTCCTCCTCAATTGCCTCATCGAGCTTGTAGCCTGCGTTGAAGAGCAGCTTTCCACCTTCTACGCCGTTGACTGTTGTGCTGTTCTCTCGAACAATTGAGCCCTCGAATGATAAACTGATCCTCAGGGTCACGTTCCACGGTCTCAATCCCTGACCTTCGTAGGCTGCAGATTGCATCGGGTTGAAATTCGAGAGTTCAAAGGGCTCGCGCTCATCGGGAGAACATCCGCCCTCCCGTTCTCCCATCCAAGGTATCGCCTTGTCGAGACTGTTGTTGAGCGTGAGGGTCATCTGGTCCGCGCCGATGCCGGCCATCTCCATGGTTGCGCCCTTATCGAGCCAAAACGTCGGATTCGACGAGTACCAGATGCGCTCGCCATTCTCATCAAAGCCGTCATCGTCTTGTCTCCTCCTCTTCGATCCGTCGGACCCCCGCACCGTGTCGATGTCCTCTTCATCTTCATAGTATCTCTGATTCATACTGCAGACGCTCTTCACCGTGACATACTGGCTTGTATGCTTCCCCGGCCGCGGGAAGGAGCCAATGTAGTCCTTGTTATTGATGATGGGTGGCGCCTGGGCGTACTCTGCTTGCGCAGAAAAGGTGCCGTCATCCTCGGCCGTGATGTTTGTGGGCCAGTACACGCGCGTCGTCTCCTCGAGGTCCGTCGCGTCCGAGTCGTCGTACCGGTTCGTCCAGTAGGGCGAGAAGACCGTGTTGTACTCGCGCGTGTAGTTAGAGATGACGAAGTCGCTTGACCGGATGTACACCCAGCGCTGCTTAAAGTCGACGGCGTCCCGGAGGGCGTGGTACTCGTGAGCCGGTTGGAAACCGCGCAAGACCCAGTGCATCGGGTTCGTGTCCGACTCGTTGCCCGTTGGGGCGATGAGCACGAGCGCCGGGTACCTGCTCGTCTTGACGGCCCTGTCATCGTTGTCGCAGACGTCGATCGGCTCCGACTCCTCGTCCCAGACCGTGTTGTGGGTGATGTGGTGGCGCACCGTGAGGGTGCCGTTGTAGTAGAGACCTGGCAGGCCAAAGGTTTCCAGGCGGGCAAAGTAGCCGCAGGGCGCCGAGTTGTCGGGGCGGGATGAGCCGTCATCGGTGCCGCTTCCACTGCCGCTGCCGCTGTCATCACCGCCGCTGTCACCGCCTCCACCACCGGTTGAAGAGTCATCGTCGTCGTTGCTGCTTCCACCTCCGCCCCCTCCACCGCCACCGCCCTTTCTCTGAGCTGCAGCTGAGCCAGCGAGGAGACAAAGTAGAAGCCTCAATGTCAATGAGCGATGCATGGTGGGCTGTGGAGTCTGAGGCAACGTCTGTCGGCGAGAGCAGGCTGCTCTCACGACGGGATGTCCACCCTTTAAGCTTGACAGGATCTGCCTTGCGCCGCCACTGGCAGCCTGTTAGCAGCTCTAATTCTTTGGGATGGAGATCATATGCCTTGAGAACCATGCACGGAGCATTATTTAGGCCGTATGACCCTGTGCAAGAAGCTTCTTCAGACGTTAGCCCATCCAGATACCCCCTGCAATGGCCGGGGTGGCTGTCTTACAGGTGTGCTAGCTCGCATCAAAATAGCGCCAACGAGGAATTGCGGTGTCGAGCCCCATAACGCTATGCTGCACATTCTCTTGAGTGCCAAAGATATTCGGATTATGAAATAGATTTCATTCTCTCTGGGATCTTCATGCGACCATTTCTTTCGGGCAGACGACAAACACAGAAGAGCATTCTTTGAAGCGAAGCCAAGGAATCTTGTATACAATGGAGTAGAAACATCCTGTACCATTCGACTCGCATGAAACGTGAAGATCTGCGTGGAGACGACAACTGGTAAGGCGCGTGAGATGACAAGGTGCAGTAGTCGGCGCCACATGCAGGGTCCGATTGCACAACGGTGACCAGTGAAGCGCTTTGAATGATTGTCAATGGCCAGCAATACGATGGACGTCGTCGGAGGCGGGGCATAGGCCCGAGAATAACCTTGATTTCAAATCGCTGAAGCCTTCAAGGAGAATGATATGGGTGCTCTGGAGCCGTGATGAGTAAAGCACCTCAGGCGAGCGCGACATGTAAATTATAGTTTTCTTCATATTCTACTATCGACGCTTATTTCGGCAACGAGATCTCGAGATCATTCAAGAAGCCGAGTCTCGGGAGGACCCAAGTAGGAATCTGGCACCCTGCCCTGCGTGCCAACCACAATCTTCTCGAGATAGATCTCGGGCGAGTTTGCCTGCCACCTCAGCGTGTGCTTTCCAGGCGCAAGGTTGCCAAGCGCAACGGTCTTCTTCCACACGTGGTCCGCCACACCTGCCGTCCACTCTGGAGGCGTATCGCCCGCCTTGGCCGGCTTGCCCAGGACGCGCGTGAACTTTGCCGCCGCGTCATTAACCGACAGAGAGAACTCCATTGGGGTGTCGGGGTCGGTGTCCAAAGCACCGTTGATGTAGACTGTCGCGTTGACCTGGTTGCGCGTAGCCGCGCCGAGAATGTAGATGTCATATTCTAGCCAAGCCTTCTTTGCATCCTCTGGGGCCTTCTTTGCGGCGGCGTACGGGCGTAATGCGACGGAGCCGGATTCGGATCGGGAGCCTAGGCGAGGCGCGTGTTGGAAGCCAATCTCATCGCCGCTGGCTTCGCCCGATGACCTTTGGTGGTGGGGTCCTTCGATTGAGATGTAACCGTCAGTTTCAGGGAAGCCATTGAAGCCTGCGGGAGCGTTTAAGTTGAGTATGGGCAGGTGAACAATGTCGAAGTATGGCTCTGGTTCCCACGAAACGCGAATTTCGACCGTTTTACTGAGCCCCGACGGCACAGACGCCCAGTCGATGCTGACATCGATGCGTGCCTCCGGTTCGTCGGCCGTGACTTGGCCCGACGTCTTGGAAAATTTGATCCACGACTCGGCCGCACCCACGGACCAAGGGATCGGCTTGCGCTGGTCGCCGCGGTGGAACAGGTCGATGAAGCGAGACTTGGGACCATGAGGTTGCATGAGGCGCATCCTCGGCGAAAAGCCGTCTTTCGTAGGCAGTGAAGGGTTGATAGAGGCGCAGATGCGGCCCTGCGTCAGCGCGCTACGCGATTGCTCGACGTAGATGCCCAGGTTCCCGAAACCATAGTCAAAGTCCTGGCGGAGCTGGACGAAGGATAAGTTGGAGAGGACGTCACGCGACGACGGGCGCCAGTCGGCAACGCTCATATCGAACTTGGGCGTCGCCATGATGCCTTTCCATTTGCCGCCGGCGATGCGGTCGTATCTCTGGACGAGATCATGGTCGTTCTCGAATTCGTCGATCAGCCTGTGAGCAACGGCGTTGGCCGAGTTTCGTCGCTCGAAACCATACTGCTGGTTCTTGCCCTGTCCCAGAACGATCGAGATGTAATTATGCCCAGCCAACGCAGGATACAGAAGCGTGTGGTAGAGAGCGTCACGGCGATTGCGAGGTAGCCTATCACTGATCGACTGAGCCAGATCAGCGAGCGACTTCCAGGCTTTGACCATGTTGTCGGCCTCCTCGAAACTCAGCTGGGAGAATGTCGTGGGCTCGGTGGTCTCAAACTGCCGCATGCCGATCAGGTGGCTATAGGCCAACCAAGCTGACGCGACGTCCTTGGCGACTTCAGCGCCGAAGTCTCTCTCGGCCAGGGTCTCGAGATACTGTGGTAGGCTGTCCAGGTCGAAACGTGTCTTGGTCCACGCGAGATCCATCGCCAAATTGATAGGAACCTCAAGAGGTTTGATATCGCCAACGTTAAGTACCCAGATGCGATCTGCTCCGCGCTCGGCAGCTTGAAACAGCTCTTTGTATACTTTGGGCTGTGATAATTGTCAGCCGGTGGCGCGCTTTCCGAAGAATTTGAAAATCCGTGATCTCTTACCAAATTGTTGCAGTTTTGCCACTTCCAGCTCTTCGGTCGTCCAACGTAGGCAAAGTGATAGTACAGCTGTAGATAGTCACGTATGAATCAGCGTTCTGGACGTTTTCAGGCATCAGGACAGGGGCAAATGTGCTTACACCAATGCCTCCAGATCTTTTCCGCTCCTCTTCAGTTGGCAAGCGCTGCACATTACCCCAGTTGTCGTCGGTAAACATGAGCGTCACATCGTCAGGGGGCGTCAGGCCTGCGGCGTAGTAGGTCGCAACCTCCTTGTAGATGGTCCAGACCTCTGTATACTTGTGTCAGCCCAAGCTGCAATCTGTACAGCCAAAGGGTCCAACTTACGTCGTGCGGCCGTCTCGTTGCCGTAGTGCTTAGCCAGCAGCCCACGCTGTGTCTCAAAGACATCCTCGAGGACAGCGATAGGATCGGCTGCGTTAATTGGTCCGTCATTCTCGCCGCGCATGCCCAGCGTGAAGTACGTCTCGTTCTGGCCCGCGCGCCGAATGCCCTCATCCATGAACTTAACGACATTGTTCTTGTTCTCAACCCAATTCCATTTGCCTGCCGGGTTGAGAGTCCACTCGTTGGACGCCCGTTGCATGGGTTCGTGGTGGCTCGTCGACACGACGATGCCGTAGTCGCTCGCCAGCTGCTGGCTCCGGTTGTCGTCGGTGAAGAAGATGCGGCCCGGCTTGGGGATAAAGCTTGCCCACATGGCGGGCCAGATGAAGTTTGCCTTGAGGCGGAGAAGCAAGTCGTAGACGCGCTCGTAGAATTCGGCGTCGAAGGTGTAGTCTGTTCTGTTTGAGTGGTTCGCCCACCAGCCGGTGAGAGCAGGGGCTTCGTCGTTGATGAAGATGCCGCGGAACTTGACGCTCGGCTCGCCAAGGGTCACCGTCTTGTCAAGCGCGTAAATCCGCCTGTGCTTGGTTACAGGGACGTCCGCCCACCAGTGCAGGCTGCAATCGTGGCTTGTTAGCAAAAGTTGATCGGATATCTTCCATAGCGCGAGACCCTTGCTGTGCGGCTTGGGGCATTTGACTCACGGAGACTTTCCACTCTGTTCCGACAATGTGTAGACGCCAAACATGGCGCCACGCATATCGCTGCCGGCGATGACGAGCGCATGCCGAACGCCTGGCAAAGGATCCTTCACCAGGGTGGTGTGGAAAGACTCCCACTTGCCACGAAGATCTTCAACATCGACCTTCTTCGCGCGCTCGAGGTTTTGCAGCAGCGGGGAGTCGACGGTCGCGGCAATAATGACAGCTTGGGGAGAAGTACGAGAGCCAGAGTCGCTGGTCTGGTTGGCGGCTCGCCATGCTTTGACGGGTGGCTTGCGGCCCGTGATTTGCTCCAAGTCCTCGGCCAGACTATTTACGGCAATCTTGATACCGATCGGATCATTATCGTCGTAGAGGATTGTGGCGCTGTGGATTTCAACGGCCCCGGCGGATGGCTCAAATCCGACGAGCTTTTCTTGGATACTCGCAGCGACAAGAAGCGGCAAATTCAAGAATTGCAACAAGATCGCAGCCAGCAGGATCACGGCCCTCGATGATTGAGCCATGACAGAGTCGCGATTTACAGATTCTGGGGAAAGCCGGTGTGCTACATGTGTCGTATTGTCTGGAAACATTTATGCCTGGACCCCAGCATTCTTATGGGCCCCAATTGCCTGCCCCAGTAGCCCTTCGCTGGAATCGCAGCTTTGCAGGACGATAGAATTCTCTCATGCATGCTGCCGATCATCACCATGCTGGCCTCAATCAAGCGGGCAGATGTCGACATTGTGTCCAGAGCACAGAAGGTAACAGCGTCGCAACAGGGGCTCGGCCTGCTTTGACCCGCAGACGAGATACGATTCGCCTGGCCAAAAAGGACGTCATATCCGGGGCGAGGGTTTGGTGCGGAGTGTGAGAGCAACATTAAGGTTGGTGTGTACCCCCGCAGCGAATGGAAGACGTGGAGGCGGAAAAGCGTCTTCGTATTTCGGAGGTTTCTTACAAGACCAAGATTGGTGGACCAAACCGGGGGAAACGTCCGATCTCAGCCTCCCGCGATGAGATGAGCCGACGGTCTTGCGCTACCACGGTATCACTTTGCCATCTCATTTCGGACTTCACTTCTATTCGCAGGTTGCAGTGCAGGTTCGTTGTAGTGGGTCACCGACCTGGGGAAGCTGTTGCGGGGTAGTCGATCAGGGCCATGGAGGGGGCCATGGAGGAGGCCTTTGGGATGCTCGTCCCTTGGACCAGCAACATGTCTGGACCGAGCCTAGATTCTATGTGTAGCATCACGGGTCTCAGCGTCGACCTCGAGCTGCAAGACCAGGGCTCACAGGCGTGGTATGTATCGCAGTTACAGGAATGGTACTCCAACTTAGTTTACACAAAATGAACTTGACACATGGGGTATACTGATGAGCGTCTCGTCAGAGAGGGAGCCAAAGTCTTCTTCAGGTCCTTCCCTTCATCCGTTCTGCCATCATTCTCTCGTCCTCTCTTCATCCTTCCCTCCATACGTGCTTTTCTTCATTTCTTCCCTTCACCCGCAGTTCTAGATGATGGGCAGACTCAATGCTGAAGTGCGGCACAAAACTAGTTGGCCGAAGTTGACCGTTCGGAGCCCACAGAATCCACAAGGCGGAGTGGCCGAGTTCCTGCGGGTGGGAGGACGGCAGGGATGGCGATGGCAGCTGCGGGGAATGGGGTCAGAGGCCGAGGACCAGACCGAATGCGGACCTCGACGCGGGGCCCGAGACGGACAGGGACAGGGATGGTCAACTCGGTGGACGAGGAAAGGACACTCGGAGAAGGGCCTCCACGGACGCCGCTAGCCAAGTTGTCAAGCTCGACGCCATCGTCGCAGCGAGCAACGGTGGCGCTGGCGAAGAAGATGCCTCCCACGGCAACAAAGGTGAATGCCAGGACGACCGGAGCAATCATCGTGGTGGGTCGGTATTTGTCGGGGTCTGCATAGTGAACTGCCATGACCACGACTGCCGCGACTCCAAGGCCGATCAGAACCACGACTGTCACTACAATGCGGATGACTCTGGGGTTGCGGTCCCGGAGACAGCTGTTGACGAAGTTTGAAAAAGACTGACAGAGCTCTGGTCTGTTGCGAGCACCTTGGCTGTTCAAGATGGGAAGAGAGTCTTCTGGGTCCTCGGTGGGGTGGCTTGCATGGGGCGTATTGAAGAAGCTCCTGCGTATGTTCACCAGCTCTGGAGTTGTAATGCGCCTAGGGAAGTTGCCAAGAAGTCGGTCTTCGACTGTCTGGGCCGGGGCGGTGTCCCTCAGAGCCATGAGCAACGTCTCAATGGCGGCAACGTTGTGCGAGATTTCCTGATCACCATGGGCGCCATTCTCTTCGTTTGCATCGCGGGCCGGGAAAGAACCGGAAGCCAAGCTCTGGTCATGTTGAAAGTCCTGCTCGGCAGCTGGGTGATAAGCTGAAGGAAGGCGCGGTTAGATGCTTTCAGGCCACAAATGAACCATCAACAAGAAGGAACTCACCAAGAACTGCCAAATCGCGAGCAGGAATAGTGAGAGAATCGATGCGGGCAAACATCCTTTTCTCCCGCTCACGGAAATCATCACTGTCTCTTTCGTTGTCACTCTTGCTTGCATGCTGGCTCGTGCTGTCAAGGGTCCCACTGCGGGACGTAGTCGATCCACGAGGCGTGGCATTCTGCAGAGGCCAACGAGCCCGCGAGCTTGGCATTTTGGCAGCATGATCCAAGAGGGCATACTGTGAGAGATGAGATCCCTGCACCGAGCCTTGCACATGAAAGTACTGGCCTTGTTCGGAAGCGGTCGTGAACGATGCTGCAGCATTGCAAGGGAAAGTGCTCTGGTCATCCTGAGACGTGCTGCCTCCGATTGGACCACTATCATGAGTGACACCATGGATAGCTAGATCATGATGATCGCCGCCTCCACGTTCGTTGGCGGGCTGAGAAGCCTTGATTTTGATTTCATCGTCACTGCCCGATTGGGAATCCTTCAGCTGACGAGGGGGGCTGGAAAGCTCCGCTATGCACTGCCGACAGTGGCAACCTTTGGCATGCGAAAGACACTCCATGGTAACTTTTGATGCAGGCTAGCAGTTCTCTTTGTGGCTCTAAGCAATACCTGACGGCGCTGGAACGTCAGTCAGGTCGATTCGGCCGCGTGTATCAAGTCAGTAAGTTCTTTACCACTACGTGCGCAGGTGCAAAAACTCGTGGATTGCTGTCCTCAACTCAATAAACTGCCTAATACGGGAATAGGTTAGTGATCATTCATCCTGTGTTCTTCAATCCAAAAGCACACTCAAGCCTTATGCGGGCATGAGGCATGAGCGGCATGGAACTGTTACACAAGTTCGGAAAGCGGAGAAGTCGTACATACGTGGCGGAGCTACAGCTTGTTGAACGGTTGCTCAGAATCAGGGAAGGTTCCTGATGACCGCATGCGAGCGCTTTTGATGTCAACTGAATCTGCGTGATGATTGCGTGGGAAACCGGCGTCGAGAGCCTTCAGTTTGGCGATGCGCAACTGCTATGCTTAGTCGCTTTGCGGGTGGGGAGAAGTAGGAGGGGAGATCAAAGCAAGACCTGGCGTGCGGTCTTGTTGATGCCTTTTCATGGGTGTTATCCTAGCAGGCAAGAACGCGTTCTTGCCCAGGTCGTAACCCTCTGATTCATAAGTGCCTTGTGTCCTGAGACCAGGGTGCAGAACTTAAGAACAACATCATCCTGTTGATGTTCCTGGAATCACATCTTTCTGCCAAAGGTTCAGATTATCCTGATGAAAGGCTTATATGATTGCATGACGGTGGCATTTGAAGTAGCCCTTTTTAAATAGTATAATTCATTCCATAGTGAATAATGCTCTCATTTTTGTTTGATAATAGGCCTTAAAGCACAACAAGGCTTTCAGACCTTGTTCAGCAGCCCACGCACGCGACCATGAGGGATGTCCACCCACCTTCCTAGATAAATGGCACAATAAGACCAAACAATCAATTTTAAGACCTCCTCCAGGGCCGGAATCGACTTCCAACATACCAATCTCTGCATTGCCCCGATTCGCATCTGCCAGTATACTCGTAGTGGGTCTTCCCATAACCTGATCCCGGTTGAATGCGATCTGAAGTGCTCCGTGCCTTCTTGTATTTCTTCTCATGCTTGTGCCAGTCAGTGTCCTGTCTTCTTCCTTCCCCCGCAAGGTACTCTTGGTGCAAGTTCTCCGCTTGTCGAGTTCGTTGCTTCGCTTGAAGGTGATCCATCTCATCCACCCTCATGTCTTTTCTGTAGAAGCTGTGAAGCCGATCAAACTCTTCGAACTCGCTGCCTCGGCCTTCGCGTCGCCGCCACTCTTCCAGTCCACCCACACGCCGATCGCCCCTCCTTTCCAAGCTTCGCAGATAACGCTTCCACGCTCGCCACAAGTCTTCAAAATGCTCGACTGCCACCTCGAGATTGTCTGCATGCTCCTTAGAGTTTTCGACTTTCTTCTGCCACTCGCACCTGCAAGAGCCGTGCGCGTATCTGTGTTTCTTGTCGTGCTTACGGGCAGTGTAGAGCGCCTTGTCGATTTCCAGCACGGCATGGTCGAGAATGCGTCCGACTTCGAGCATCTCGTCCCGAGCCCGCCGAAACTCGACGCTCTCGATGGGACAAGTACATGGCTTTGAGCCGCCGGATCCAGAGCTTATGGGGAAAATATTGCCGTCAAAGATAGGTAAGTCGCGCCAGGACGAGCCGCGTTCGTGCTCGCTGAAACGCACACCGCGTGATAGATGTTCCTGGACATGCATGTGGTAGATAACAGGTTCGCGGCATCTTCGGTGGCAATCGAAATGTCGAACTGTCCGGATGCAGCAGCCGTGATGGCGGCAGCGGCTCTTGGATGGGATGTGGTGATTTGGCTTACAAACACACGGAATCGGAGAGGCGTATGGGTCAACAAGAAGGTTTCGCCCGTCACATATCACGGGTCGCGTGTCGCACGTTAAGGTGTGGGTGTAGACACGGTAACACATCTTCGTCAGCGATGGTGTTTGTGACCACGTTGTGAGTGCTTGGTCGAGATGAAAAGAAGATACGAAGGAAGCACCGTCACCGGAAGCGACAGATGAGCTGGGTTGATGTGCTTGGGACATTCTTTTGACTCAAAACTGCTTGATTTTGCTGTCTTTTTTATTGGGTTTGGTGTCAAATGCCCCTGAACAGGGCTCTTGTGTTGGCGGGCGTGGCTTTGACTCGACAGTCAAATGCTGCCAACAACACAAAGGCACACAGTTCAACCTGCAAACCATCTTTGTATGGCGCCTTCCGAGTCGCTAACAAGGCGTTGGATAGCACAAGGGCCTCAAAGCAAATCTCAGCAAACACATGTTTAGGACTGGCTCGTGCTGTCGCTTTCGTCCGTTGCTTTTTTTGCGCCGTCGACCAACTGGTGATCAGTTGGAGTGGCGAAGTAGTGGGCGCATCCTTCGAAAGGTTTGCCTACATTGTAAAATTCCGAACCAAGAACCCCCCTTTGTCATCAAAAGGTCTTGCCAGGCGATCACGGTACATGTAAGCTGCTCCCTGTATCTCCATCCTGTACTGAGATCTACCCAAAAGCAATCCAGTCCGCACCGACAGTGTAGAGCTGGCTGTCACCCCATGAACTACCATGCCAAACAAACCCCGACGCATCCACCTTCTCCGCACTCACCGCGACCCGTAGATTGCCTGAGCAGTTCATATCTAGCTCGTTGATTGCCACGAAGACCTTCGGCGCCCTGTCAAAAGATTTGGGTGGGAACTTGATCTTCTTGAAGTTCTCAGCGATGGGTGGGAACCACTCTCGAATTTCCCTGGTGCTAACCCTACCACTGGCAACACCCTCATGACGTTTGGGATATGCAGCCCATGACGCAGTAGCGCTGTAGAGCAAAGTGTCGCCCCAGGATTCAATAGCGAGGTCGAAACCAGAAGAGGTTACGTTGACAGCACTGGCTCGCACTCTCCAGTTGCGTTCTTTGTCAAGATCAAGTGCATTGAGCCAGACAATAATATTTGGAGGCTCAGTATATTTGTCGTCGGAAAAGGCAAAGCTCTCTATGTCGCGACGCACTCCATCATCCCCAGGCACAGCAAGCGTACCGACAGACCGGTTGTACAGAGTGTTCAGTTCACCCGCTGAAAGAAGCAACTGATGTCAGCAAATTGCATTGCGAAGCCCTTGCTGTTTATCAGGGACGATTAAACAGCTTGGTGTACTCACTTTCATAGTCTGAATCGGCGGGCGAGAATTCAATCCATGTCGGTGTTGCGTTGAAGAGTTGCGTGTCGCCCCAAGAGTCCACATTCAAGATGAATTCGCCTTCGCTTACCTTGTCAGCAGCAGTGCGAATGCGGATGTTCGCGGCGTTGCCCAAGTCGAGCTTCTTCAAACCTAGAGTCATGCGTGGAGGAGCAGTGTAGGGCGGACTGAATTGGATCGCTTTAGAGTTGAGCGGTGCGGGAGGATACCATGATCGGATATCAGGATCAATGCTCAATTGTCCTTCGTTGCGCGTCTGGAAAGGGTAAACCTTGCTGATGAAACTCTTGTCCGTCACTGAAAGACCCTTGTTCTTTGGAGCTGACGTTCCATCAACTGTCCATTCGGGAGGGTAGTAGTAACACATGATTGAGCTGCTGTCGAAAGTGGACTTGCGCAGTGTCTTGATGTTTCTCTCTTTGTCAATAATCTGCGTGCGGGTAGTAGCCTCGGACCATTTGTAGTCCCTCTTACAGTCGGCTATGACTTTCTGTTCATCCCACTGAATGGGGTTGGCCTGATGTTCATGGACGCAGCCAATGACATGGCCAAACTCGTGAGTAATGACACGGCAGAAGTCGTCTTCTTCGCTGTTGTCGTGCAGCTCTCCAAAGTTGACGGTGGCCGTGTTCTGACCGAGCCTGAACTTACGCGCATTTTGTCCAACTTCAGACCAAGTGCCATGGTCGTTGTGCCTTGGGCATAGTGTGATTAACTGTGACGCCATTTTGATTCATTGCGTACTTGGGCCGGAGATGCTCACCATTGAAAGCCAACTCGGATATCAGCATCGCCTTCTTTGATGAAGCGGAAGTCAATGTTGGCGAACATTTCCCACGTCTGAGCATAAAACTTGACCCGATCATGCAGCTTGTTGGTGCCGTTGAGAAACTTGACAGTGAGCTTTTTGCCTTGAGGCCACCACAGACTACTATCCACCGCCAAGTGACTTGGGTTGCCATTCTGCGAAACGAGGTTGCCACTGGGTTGACTGTCGTCTTCCCCCAATCTGGCATCCGCAGAACAAAAGGAAAAGCTAACTCGTGAATGAGACATGCTAGTTGCCTCTCCTCCGGGGCGAAGATACTTTGGAGATCCCTTGAGGAGAAATGTTGGAGTGAGCGGGCTTCTTCCGGCTTATAGTCACTACCGCATGCTGCAGGCTGCGGTCCAGATTCTCATGGCCATGATTGCTTCACTTGGGCGTCCAGGATGCGAACCTCACCTGCTCCAAACACTCGAACCACAGTTTCTTCTGCCGATCTCCCACTT